CCGAGAGCGCCGGGATCTTTCGCAGGAGCTGGTAGACGTGGCCGAAGCACAAGTGGCCAGAAGGGAGTGCCAGCGCAGATGATCCAAGTCCCTCCCTCTCCTGTCTCGGCGGCGTTCCCGGGGAGAGAAAAGGGACGGGGCTACTCAGAAGGCTCGGAAGTCCCCCGGCCTCCTGAGAAATTTCCTGACCCGAAGGCACCACAGCCCGGTCGGGGGGCTGGAGCGCTGCGTAGAAGCCCCGCCGCCTTCTGAGAAGGCCTTCTCCTTCTCACCACCCCTCCTCCTCCTCTCCTCCTCGTCCTCGTCCTCGTCCTCGTCCTCGTCCTCGTCCTCATCGTCCTCCTCCTCGTCCTCCTCGTCCTCCTCCTCCTCCTCCTCCTCCTCCTCCTCCTCCTCCTCCTCCTCCTCCTCCTCCCTCTCTCCTCTTCCTCCGACCGTCTTTTTGTCCAGCGCAGTCGCGCGAGCAAGGCCAGTGGGGGCGTGCGGTTTGCGCCGCCACAGGGGAGGCCGCGCGGGCAGGCCCAGGGCCGCCTCGAGGAGCACACGGGAGCCGCAAGGGGGAGCGGGGGCAGCGGCGCAGCCGCACCGGCATGGCAGGAGGCCTGTTGCTTGGATGGCCCACGGTTCACGCCGACCGACGCCGAGGACGGGGAGGGGGAGGAGGAGGAGGAGGAGGAGGAGGAGGAGGAGGAGAAGGAGGAGGAGGAGGAGGAAGAGGAGGCGAACCGCCTCTTGGGGCCCTTGTAGGACGCTCGTGGACGCGCCGCCGTTTGCAGCACGTCGGCGTGAACCATGGACTGCTCCTTAGACAAACGCCTGGCGCGGCCTTCTCTTTGCACAGACGCCCGATGTGAGCTGTGCGTGCAAGTTTGCAGCTGCATATGGTAGGAAGCACGCCAACCTGGGTGCCCAGGGAAGCATTACTGGAGCCCGGGATCCCATATGTGCATCTCTTCTCTAGCGCATCCATGCACGAGCGTCTGAGTACGACTGTGTGTCTGCGTATGGCGAGTCTGGGTACGAAGATGTACGTATGAGTGAGTCTAGGTGGGAGAGAGAATCAGAGTATTGGTGACTACGTGTGAGGACCTCTGAAGAAAGGCGGGTCTTAGCATGAGTGTGTCTGGGAGTGAGTGAGTCTGATCTTGAGCGAATGAAGATATGACTGGCTGGGCACAACTAGGTATCAGTGTAAGTGGAAGAGCACGTGTGGGTATGAGCGCCAACGTGTGACTGGATCTGAATCAGAGTGCATATGTACACACATGAATATCAACGTAAGCACGTCTGCGTATGAACAACCGAATACGCACACAATAGATATGAATATGAGCGCCATGCCTGCTACATGTCGACGACCATGGGGCTCAAAAACAAGGAGCTCGAGGGGGCAAATCCCACCAGCCCTTTGGGCGACAGGTGGTCTAACGAGTCTCTGTCATCTTCCACAACCCCTCTTCCCTTCGGGCAGGGGAACCCTCCCCTTCCCCTCCCTGAGGTTGTTGGGGAGGGATCACGAGGTGTCGGAGGGCCCTTTTTTCGGCCCCTGGGAGGGCAAGTTTCTGCCACCCCTCACGAGGATCGTGGCCCCGACGGGGGGACGCAAATCGAGTACCCCCCCTTTTTTGACCAACCAACCGCCTCCAAGATTGCCCCTAAGAGGCCATCCAGGGCTCCCAAGAGGCGCCCACGAGGACCCAAAGAGCGCCCCAAGAAGCCCCAAGCGGCCTCCAAAAAGCACCCGAGAGGCCCCCACGAGGCCCCCGAGCGGCCTCAGAGAGCCCAAGATGACCTCCAAGATGGCTCAGATGGCCCAAGCTGGCTCAAGATGGCTTCCAAGATGCTCCAAGCGGCCCCAAGACTTCTCCAAGACGGCTCGAGATAGCCACGGAGCCTCCCAAACCTCCCTCGCTGTTTGACTATGCGTGTCCCTTCCTCCCTCCCCCCGTCAACTCTCATTGGCATCATTTCTGGATGGGCTGGTGGGGATACGCGAAACATCAAGAACAACACATTGTACATATGGTATCCCTACGATCTGGGCGCGAAAACCGTGACATACCTCCTGGCGGCTCCCCCTGAAAAAAAGTCCGACTGCCACGCCTACTACACCGCGATGATCGGGTGGCCCATTTATACCTGACACATCCCGTCAGTGTGGTCGCAAGTGGGCATGTGATGTACCCCCTGGCGATTCCCCTTCGGGAGGCCCTGTTGCCATGCCTGCTACGTCGCAGTGCTACTCGAACACAGAAAAAGGAAGGGGAAGAAGGACGGCAGGAGGGAAACCACGACGAATAATCAAACAAGGAACCCGTCAGCTGCAACTTGTGTGCCCGGGCCTCACACAGCACCCCACGGAATGCAAGGTCGCGGTGGAGAAAGGCAGACGAGCAGGGGGGAGCAGGAGAAAGAACTGGGAGTGGTCACGGTGCTCCAAAAAGACAGAGGTCCGAGTGCCCGGAACGGTAATTCTACTTGAGAGGTCACGGATTTCTGGGCACGAACATGCCCGTGATATACCCTACGGCGGCTCCACGTCGAGAGGCCCAAAGGCCATACTGGCTAATTTGAGCTCGCCTGAGTGGGTGAGTCTGTGTAGAAGTGGGTCTGAGCCTGAATGCGTCTGTGTGGGTCTGGGTGTGGACGAGTCTGTGTCTGAGTAAGTCTGAGCCTATGTGGATTTGCGTATGAGTAGGTTTAAGTATGAATTGATACGGGCGTGAGTGGTCTGAGTAAAACTGGGTCCGAGGGGAGGGAAGAAAAGTGGAGGAGGCGGGAGCGTCTCAATAACAACAAGAACCCCGTGCTTAGGATATCGGGAAAAAGGTGTGCAGCGGGGAACAGGAGTGAGATAAGAAGGGTGATCATAATAATAAGGTAAACTGAAGAGAAGCGCCAGAAATCCACTGTCACGGTTCGTTCACACAGCTGGGGCGCAAGGTGAATTTCGAAATGAATATGGCGTAAGATACAACAGCAAGGAAGCAGACCTCTAAGCAACGCCGCGAACACGAAATCCGACCAAACGCACCGACACGTCAGGAACAGGATGCGATAGTGTATGCTGGGGCCGAATAAAACATTATTACCCGACTGCCCTCAATCGGAACATGGATTGTGGGTGGCGCAGCCAATCTGGAAAGTTTTAGCAGCCTTGAAACTCTTCGGAACGCACCGATTGTGTTCTAAGGCTGGCTGGGCAATTGCCTGCAAAACCGACACCGAAAGGAACCGAACCGAACTGGAACCGGAACCGGAACCGAACCGGAACCCGGAACCGAACAGGAACCGGGCGGTCCCCGAACCGAACCGACGGGAACCGAACCAGACGTCCCAACCCAGCCCACACAGGACCGCAGGACGACGACCCCCTGCACCCCAACCACCCTGGAAGACGAGGGTTGAGGCAGCCAGAGCCAAAGCTCGAACAATCTGTGCAAGCGGAGGACGGCGCGGCAGGTCGGGGCAGGTCGGGGCAAGTCGGGGCGGGTCGGGGCGGGTCGCGGGAGAGGGTCGGGGCGGGTCGGGGCAGGTCGGGGCGGGTCGTCCGCAGCGGACTGCGGGAGGGCGGGCCCCTTTGGCGGCCCCCCCCGCGCGATGGCAGGGGGGCCGCCGCCAGGCTGCCCGGGTTCCCGCGGGAACCACCCCACCAGCTGTCCACCGGCCACCTCCCCCCGTGCAACCCCGTCGCGACCCCCCCCCGTCGCGACCCCCATCCCGTGGCGACCACCTCCTTCGCAACCCCCCCCTTGGGGGGGGGCGAGGGGTCCGCGGCGGACCGCGGGAGGGCGGGCCCTTTTGGCGGCCCCCCCGCGGCGCGAGGGCAAGGGGCCGCTGCCGAGGTGCCACGAGGCCCGTGGGAACCGCCTCACCAGCTGCCCCCCCCGTCACGACGACCCCCCCTCGTCGCGCTCCCCCACGCGTCGACCTCCCCGTCGCGACCCCCCGTCGCGACCCACCCCGCGGCGACCCCCCTTGCGACCCTCCGCCGTGGCGAACGCCCCCGTTGCCGCGGCGACTCCCCCGTTGCCGCGGCGACTCCCCCGTCGCGACACCCCGCGTGGCGACCCCCCCCGTCGCGCCCCCCCCGCGGCGACCTTCTCCGTCGCGAACCCTCCCGTCGCGACCCCCCCCGTGGCGTTCTCCCCGTTGCGACCCCCCCGTCGCGACCCCTCCTCGGTCTCGACCCCCCTGGTGGCGACCCCTCCCGTGGCAACCCCCCTTCGGCGGGCCCGTCGTGGCCCCCGTAGGGGCCCCCCGTCGTCGTCGGCGGCGGCGGCGGCGGCCCTCTCAGGAGAAGGAGGCGGGGGGCGGGGGCAACCATGTCGAGGCGGATCTGGCCGTGGCCAGGAATGCCCATAGCGTCAACAAGAGGCCCCCGAACCCTGGGGGGCCGAACCTCGAACCTCGAACCTTGGTCCTCCTACCTCGACGGCGGCGGCGGCGACGACGACGCCGGGGGGCGGCGGGGCGGCGACGTTTCGCGCGAATCTGGGCTGCTCTCTGGGCCGCTCTCGGTTTTCCCGCAGGCCCCTCGTCGCCGAGGCTGGATCCGCCTCGAAGTCCTCGTGAGAGCGTTGGCCCCCCCCCGTGGCAACCCCCCCGTAGAACCAAAGGAGAGAAAGATCGCGAAGTCAGGCCCTCCCTCGACGACGACGCCACGCCCTCCGTCGACGATGACGACGACGCCGGGACGATGACGACGACGACGACGACGACGGCGACGACGAACGACGACGACGACAACGACAACGGGCGCCGCGGCCGGGCACCTCGCCGCCGGGCGCCGCGGGGGCGCGGCCCTGCTCCTCGTTCCTTCCTCCTTGCTTCTCCCCCCTCCTCATCCTCTTCTTCCTCGTCCTCTCTTCCTTTTTGCTCAAACTGGACCGTCGCTTACGCAGACGGGGCGCCCAACGTCGTTCAGTCGCACCGAAACGGACCTGTCGGACCGAATCGAACCAGACCGTCAATCGAACCGAACCGAACCGGTGTGACCGAACCGCCCGAAAATAGGAACCGAACCGAACTGAAGCCAGACCCAAACCGAACCGGCACAAAGCGAACGGGTGTCAAACCGAACCGGCCAAGCAACATCGAACCGTCTGCAGAACCGGACCGAACCGAACCGATCCAACCCCTTCATGGTATGATGATACGCTCCTGCTAACATGTTCGGCTATGCGTTGCTGTCGTAGTATGATATGGTCCGTACTTCTGTCATGATAAGCTATGGTATGATATGTTATGTCATGGTGTGTTATGCTATGCTCGGTTATGTAATGTTATTGTGTGTTATGCCGTCTCCTGTGCAGTCATGTTATGTCATGGCATGTTATGTGATCTTAGGTATGCTGACGGCTCCGCTCTGTATTGTATGTGATGATCTGCTCTGCTAGTATATATCGCTATGCTCTGCTATCGTACTATGATATGGTATGCGATGATGTGTCATCGTATGCCATACTATGTCAAGGTGTGTTGTGTGATGTTCGGTTATGTTGTGTTGTGTTATGTCGTATTCTGGCCTGCCATGTTCTGTCCTGGTATGGTCTGTGATGTTCAGTCATGCTCCGTTTTGACATGGCATTGCTATGATATGTTCTGCCATGGTCTGTCATGCTCGTGGTATGTTTTGTCATGCTATGTTGTGTCATGTTGTGTTCTGTCTTGTTCGTCGTCGTCGCTATGCTCTGCTGTCGCGTTATAATCATCTCTGTGATGCTAGGGCAGGATCTGATATGTTATGTCAAGGTGTGTTATGGTATGATCGGTTATGCTATGGTATGCTGTGGTGCGTCGTCTTATGGTATGTCATGTTCTGCTCTGGCATGGTGTGTGATGGTCTGTATGTTGACGGCTCGGCTGTGTATTGTATGTGATGATCTGCTCTGCTAGTATGTGTCGCTACGCTCTGCTGTCGTGTGAAGATATGGTATGCAGTGCTGTGTCATGATATGCTATGTTATGTCAAGGTATGCTGTGGTATGCTCGGTTGTGTTATGGTATGTTGTGTAATGCCGTCTTCTGTCCTGTCATAGTATGTCCTAGTATGGTCTGTGATGCTCAGTCATGCTCCATGTTGACATGACATTGCTATGATATGTTCTGCCATGGTCTGTCATGCTCGTGTTATGTTATGTCATGCTATGTTGTGCATGTTGTGTTCTGTCTTGTTCGCCGCCGCTATGCGCTGCTGCTGTGTTATGATCATCCCTGTGATGCTGTGGCAGGATATGATATGTTCTGTCAAGGTGTGTTATGGTATGATCGGTTGATTATGCTATGGTACGCTGTGTTATGTCGTCTTATGTTCTGTCATGTCCTGTCCTGAGATGTTCAAGGATATGATGTTATGATGTTATGTGTGCTGATGTTGATGTGTTATGCTATGTCATGCTCTTTCATGATATGTTCCGTTGTATCATGTTCTATTATGCCATGTCGTGTTCTGTCGTGTTCGTCGAGGGCGCGAGGCGGGACACCCGGGACTCTTGGGGATCATCGGGGCAACTTGGGCTCTGGTTGCCGCGGTATGCAGGGTGGGGTTGGCCGGGCGCGAGGCGGGATACTCGGGTCCACTGGGACAACTTGGGCTCTGGCGGCCGCGGTATGCAGGGTGGGCTTGGCCAGGCGCGAGGCGGGATACTCGGGACAACCGGGACAACTTTGGCTCTGGCGGCCGCGGTATGCAGGGTGGGGTTGGCCAGAGGGCGTGTTCTTGAAATCTAACAACCCCGACCTGTCGGGAAGGGAATTCGATCGTCGAGCATCGATCCTCCACGTGGCCTCTCACGAAGACGATTGCGATAGCTTCTGGAAGGCACGTGTCACTGGTCTCTGTCCGGGCTCGGCGGTTAGTGTTGGCGGCGCACGAAGGGCTGCTTCTGAGAAGACTTCCCCCCCATCCCCCTATCACCTCCCTCTGCGCGAGGCTGATGGTGGGTGTCTACTTGGGTGCTCGCTCACTTGCCCACCTCCATGCGAGCGGCCTGGCGCGCGGCGTTGGCGGCAGCTGCGTTTCCGGCGTCCTTGGCGCCCTTGACCCCCGCAGACGGCTTGGTCCTGAGCTGGAAGAGCGCGGTCGAGCCAGGGCTGGGAGAGCACGAGGGCGGGGGCAAGTTCAGCAGGTCCACCTCGCGCTGCGTGTTGCCCACGTGGAATAGACAGGAGGGGAGGATGACGGCACTGTTGTCGGTGCCACCGCTCATTGCTCGGTTGCCTTGTGATGACCAAGAGAGCCCCCCAAAAATATTCACACGAAGATCAATCCTGTGCGCCCTTGAGCCCGACGCAATTAAATAACGAATGTTGCATGCAAGCAATTCAGGTCAGGATGGCAGAAGACCGCAAGGTGGGAGAGATAGAGAGAGAGGCATACAACCAATCCGCTCCAAGCCTCAAATTTCAAAACGTCAAGAGTGGAGATACGCGCGACCCCCCGGAGACAACTTGCTCGCCTCAGCGTCCCCCAACCGAGTTCCCTCAGCGTCTTCGTGGTCAAGGCCATGTAGAATCTAGAAGTACCTCATTGCCTGGCTCTTAATCTGGCGTCCAGGATCCCTCGTCGCATACACAATGGATCCGCGTTCCCAGAGCCACAATCCCCTTCAGACAAACAAAAACGCCAGGATCGCGCTATCAAGCCCACAACCCATGGTCAAATGTTATGGGTCAGCCGTCGCAAGGAAACGACCCTCCTGTCCTTCGTAACACCTGGGGGACAATGATAAACATCGTGTTATAGACGTTGCCTGCTGACGTTATCTGCAATTGCCTCTGAGGTCTGCAACTAACCATCGCTTGGCTGGGAGGACCAGCCCTTCAACCAAATTCCCCTTGCTTGTGTGTTTGGCCCCAGCTCGCATGTGAAGGTCGGCTGGGTGACTGGCCACACGAGGATTTCAACCCTGATCCAGCCGTGGCGATGAGAAGATGCAGGGGACGTTGTCCGTTGGAAACCTGATCGGACAAGAACGGGAGCCGCCGATGTTGTCCATTCGGCTTCGGCTTAGGGGGGGAAAACGAAGAGTAGGATGATGGCGACGACAAAGCGGCGGATGACGATGATGACAGCGTGGAGGACGCGGAGGGCAGCGATGGGGGGAAGACAATACGTAGCACCTCGGGCCTCAGCATACCCACGGCTCGCCCCAAGAAAATAAAAAGGTCCTCCCGAGACCGAAGTAATTTGGCCCCACGAGAGCTCCCAAAAGGGCTCAAGACTGCCAGAGAGACCCCAAAGATGACCTACGGGCGCTCCAGGTCACGAGCGGCGATCAACAAATATCCGTATCCGCGCCCTCGCGGTCTCGATTCTGGGGCACGATCCCACGGATACGCGGTCGCACAGGTACGTTCCGCGCGGGGCATGCGCGGAAAAACGCCCGTGTCCGCGGGGTCGCGGCCCAGGGGCCGGGCCCGCAAGGCCGCGGAGACAGACATGTTCCTCGCCCGCGACCAGGAAGTCTCCAAGATGGAGCCATGAGAGCCTCGAACGGCAGGCCCAACAGGCCCCTAACAGGCCATTCCCTCTGAGCCTCACGTGCTCACCCCATCGTCCTAGCATCACTTCGAGCAGCTCGACTTCAGCCACATCCGAATAACTTTACACCCAGCATCGGCCACAAGCGCCTTGCGCTTCCAAAGCGGGCAGGGGGCAGCGGCGGTTCGATGCAGGGTTTTCTTTTACACACTTGTGGGAGCTTGTCTTGAGAATTCATGTCATCTTGGCCCCCGGAGCGCGAAAGAATGGGCCTGCCAACCGCCACCCGTGTTCCTTTTCCAGGAGATCCAAGACATCCGGCGACGAATTCCAAACCTGCGCCCTCGCATGGAGCATCCTCAGGAAAATGGTTCCCCGAACCTCCCCAAGGATGCCCTCAGAGGCTCCCTTCTTCCGTTCCCAGGAGATTCGGAACATCCGGCGGCAAATTCCAACCTGACGCCCTTGCGTGGGACACCCTCAGAAAACTGGTTCCCCGAGCCTGCCCCAAAAAGCTCTCAAATGCCCCCTTGTTCCGTTTCCCGGAAGTCTGTGAAATCCAGCGACAGATTCCAAACTGGCGCATTCGAGTGGCCCTGACAACGGCGGCGGCGACGAGGGCAAAATTAACGGCGGCGACGATAGCGGCGACGGCGGCGCGGCGGCGACGTGGCGGCGACGCTGCGGCGGCGACGACGACAGCGACGGCGACAACGGCGGCGACGGCGACGATAACGGCGACGACGCGACGCAGTGCGACCACCGTAGCGGACGACGACGGCGACGACGGCCGCGCCGATGTGGCCGCGAAAATCAGCAAAAATTTTAGACCCCCCGTGCATGTGTCGGTCGGTGGGCACAGGAGGTTGCGGGCGGGCCGCCCTCTTCCCTTCCCCCCTCCTCCTTCCAATTTTGATTTGCCTGCATGGACTCGAGGAGTCCCACCAGCCATTTAGGGCGTAGGTGGTCTAGGGCGTTTTGTCTTCCATCAGCCCCTCTTCCCCTGCGGGGAGGGGTTTACCCCTCCCACGACCCCCTCCCCTGGACCTGGACGGAAATCCCCCGAGTGGCTGGGGCGTCCAAATTGGCCCAAAATGGCCCCAAGAACGCCTCGGAGAGCCCAAAATGAGTTCCAAAATGGCTCAAGATATCCCAAGATGCCTCCAAGATGCCTCCAGATGGCTCCCAAGATGTTCAAAGAGGCCCCAAGATCGCTCCAAGACGGCCCCAAGTGGCCAAACAGCTGCCCAAGGAGACCCCGAATAGGCCCAAATCCTTCCAAAACCTGGAGAACATCAATGGTTTGTGATTTCTCGGTTGTTCGTTTTCGGTGGCCATCCAAGGCTTCAATATTGTTCCAAGATAACCCAAGTGTTCAGGAGGGCACCGAGAGAGACCCAAGATAACCCCAAAACGGCCCCAAGAGCGCCCAAGAGCGCCCCGAGGGGCGACTTCCGGGCCTCACAAAAGGGGGCGCGAATTAGGACCCCCCTCTATTTGGATCGATGTCCTCCAAAATGGCCCCAAGAGTATCCGTAAAGTTCCCAAAAGCGCCCCAAGAGGGCCCAAAGAGGCGCCCAGACAAACCCAAGGGGCGCCCAAGAGGTCTCCAAGAGGCTCCCAAGAGGCCCCCCAAGAGGCCTCAAGACATTCTCCTCGGCGCCCAATACGCTCAAACAGGCCCCAGGGCTCGCCAAGATGCCCCTGCCTCTCCTCCCTCCTCCTCCTCCTCCTCCTCCTCTTGCTCCTCCTCCTCCTCCTCCTCCCCCTCCTCCACTGCCTCCCCCCTCCTATTCCTCCCCCTCCTTGTCCACTGTCTCCTCCCTCCTCATCGCCCTCCTCCTCCTCCTCCTTTTTCCTCCTCCTCGTTCTCGTCCACCATCCTCCCCTTCGTGGGGTCTCGGACGGCGTTCCTCTCCCTTTGCTCTTGCATGCTCCCCCCGTTTCCCTGATCGCCCCAGCTCCTCTGGGCATCGTTTCTGATTGGGCTGGTGGGGACGTGTGAAGCTTCAACAGTTCTTGCAGCGCAGACGTGCAAGGTATATTGTACAAGTATGCAACTGTTGCACAACTTGAAGTCGCCAACACCACTGCTCGTGCAAACACCTAACCCACCCAGCCGCAATTTGCTTGGCAACGTGTGTTCGATCTCGATTGCGGCTGCCGGGCGGGATTTGCTCGCGCACATCTACGGCCGCACTGGCCAGCGCACGCTTGCGCGCAGATCGACCACATGGCTTGGCACAACTTATGCAGCAACGGTGTTGCTTAACGTCAGAAGCTTCACATCGCGTCTCAGTAGCCACACTGGCGCGTGGGCGCTACAATGCGGGTCAGTGACCTGGGCGGGCGCGATATCATGATGACGCCGATAGCGGCAACAGCGATAATGCTAGTAGCGGTGCGTACGGTTGTTTTTCATTCCCCAAAAACGTCCGTCCGTTACGGGGGGGTCGGGCCCCCGCGGGGGGCGTAATAGTCACCTGGTCGGGCCATGCGGGGGAGGTCTCTGGGCGCTGGACGACGACTGCTACGCCGACGACGACACGACATGGACGACGACGACGAGGAAATCAACCACGACGACGACGACGACGACGACGACGACGACGACGGCCACCGTTAAAGGCTTCCAGAGGTCTCGAGGGCCTCAGCAGGTCTTTGGAATACATCCGAAGCCCTCGGGGACGACGGCGGCAACGACGGCACCGACGACAACGACAACGACGACGACGACGACGACAAGGACGAGGACAAGGACGAGGACAAGGACAAGGACGAGGACGACGAAGGCGACGATGAGGACGAAGAAAAGGACGAGGACGAGGACAAAAACAAAGACGCGAACGAGGACGAGGGGGAGGATGAAGACGACGACAACGACCAGCACTGACGGTTGCAACAGGTCTCCAGAGGTCCCCACGGGCCTGAGGGAAATCCCTGCAGGCCTCTGGAAGCGCGTGGAGGCCCTACACGAGGGCGACGACGAAAACGACGACGGCGAGAATACCGACAACGACAGCGCCAATGCCGACGACGACGTCGACGAAGACGACGACGCCGACGACGACGACGGCAACGACGACGACGAGGACAAGGACGAGGACGAGGTCGAGGACGACGAGAACGACGAGAACGACGAGGGCGAAAACGACGACGACGACGACGACGACGACGAGGACGACGACGACGACGAAGACGACGACGGCCGCCTCTGGAAGCTATCCAACCCCTGTCAACACCAGACCATGCCTGCGAGCACGGCGCCATACCTGTGCGGGGGCCAACCTCGCTCACCCCCGTATTTCCGTTACCGTTACGGGGGCGGATCGGGGGCGCAACCAGCCGCAAGAGCAACCCCGAAGGAGGAGAATGACGATGGAGAGGAGGAAAGAACAACGAGAGGATGAGCTGGCACAATAACAAGATAATCCCTCAGGTCTTAAGATGAACAAGGGCGCAACGGACGAACGCAGGCGCCTGGTAACGTAAATTGGAATGAAAGGCGCTGGGGTGCACGCCAACTGTGCGAACACTCGTGGCAAGCCCAGCCCGGCCACCTATAGACAGCTGCTTGGCGAATCCCGGAAAACCTGTGCCAGCAAGAGCCCTGAACAGTTGGGCCACGGATGTGCAACATGTAGCATGGAATACACTCACACACACACGATATACACATACATATATGTCCATATACATATATATATATATACATGTATACACAATAAGCATGTCGAAATGAGGGGGCCGAACGGTCATTCACTGTCCCTGGGTGCATGGCTGAAGTGAGGCTTCGCAGTGCGGATTGCTGTCGCGTTGCGTTGCGTTTCGCTGCGTTAGTGTCGCCGTCCCTCTCGCGACCCGGCCCGCGACCCACTCGCGGCCCGCCCGCGACGTCCTCCTCCACTTTCCATGTTGTCCATCCTTTCTCTGGGGGTCGACAATGATTTGTGTCTGCGTGCTTCTGTTCCCTCCTGTTGAATGCCAGTCGCCCTCGCTTGACGCTCCCAGAAATTCCCAAGCGCCAGCACGTCACAGCACAGCTCAGGCACCTGCCACTGTGACCGAGAAATGGGGGCCAGCGAGAGAGAACTGCGTGTTCTTTGCATCTGGACCCAGCTCAAAGAAGGGCGCGCTTTTGAGCCCGGATCCCGCTTGACAGAACTGTGTTTTTTCAAGTTTCTGAAGCCGGATCCGGCTGCAAAGACACGCAGTTCTCTCGAGCCCCTGCGATCGAGGGGGGGGGCCGGCGAGAGAGGGCGAAGCCCCTCTGCGGACGCGTGACCGCCATGTGCTCCAGAAGCCAAAGCGGTCAGGGCGAGCGCCGTGAGCGTGCGGTGGGTGCGTATGGCGCCCTAGCCGCAACACGGCCCAGGCCCCGACCGACCACCGCGGCCGCCGCCCCACGCCGAGACGGCGGCCTCCTCGAGGATGGCGGTGACGCGGCGCGCGCCGTGCGCCGCGCTCGCTGCAGCGAGCTCCGCCCTCGGCCGCGCCGAGAGCACCAGCCCGCCCTGCTTGCCGCCATCCGCCCACCAAGCAGCGCGGGGAGCTCGTCCGCCCAGGCGTCGTCCACCCGAAGCGAAAGCGGGGCGACCGCGCCCGCGCCCTCTTTGCGACACCGCCGGCGACAAGCCAGCACGGCCGGGGCAGGCGCTGCCTCTCTGCCGTCGCCGCGTCCACCGCCGCTGCCGCATCCACCACCTCGACCGCCGTCGCGTCGCCAGTGCCCTCGTCGGGCCCGCCATGAGTGAAGCGGCCCAAGGACACACACACATAGATACACACAACTCAAACTATGCCCGATCTTTTCCTATATTTTTGGGGTTTTCGTCTTCCCCCCCGCCCGGTTCCCATGTGTTCCCATACTCTCTGGGGAATCGACGATGACTTGTGTCTGTGTCTCGTTTCCCTCCCTGAATGCGCACCGCCAGCGCCGCCGCGCCCGCGCCGCCGTCGGCGCCGCCGCGGGCGGCGCCGTGGCCTCGGCGGCGCCGGGCGCAGGCGAAGGCGGCGCCGTCGGCGGCGCCGAGCACGGCCGCTGCCTTTGCGGGGGGGCCCCTCGGCGCCGCTCGCAGCCGCACCGCACGGCCCGCAGGGGAGCGCGCGGCGTCCGACCTGTCGCCCCCAGCCGCGGGCCCGAGGCGAGCGCGCGAGGCCGAGGCGGCGCGCGGCCCAGCGGCGAGGGAGTTGGAGCCAAACTGGCTTGAGCCAAAATGGCTACGGACCCAAGCGGTCAGGGCGGGGGTCGGACGAGCGGCAGCGCAGGCTGGTCGAAAGGAGCGGGCACTCGTGGAGCAGATGGTGAATGGCGGATGTTGGCGGCGCGCAAAGAGGGGTAGGGGGAGGGGGCAAGGCTTCTTAGAAGGGGGCTGCTTCTTAGAAGGCGCCGGCCTCACATGTATAGAGAAGGCCCGCGCCCTCTAAGAACAAGGGTGCTTCTAAGAAGCCTTCCCCCCTTCCCCCTATCCCCCTCTGCGCGTGGCCGAGGATAGGGTGGAAGCGCCGCTATTTGCGCTACTCCTTCATGGTAGTCGTCTCGCCACAGGCTAGCTCTGTACATCGCCATTGCACGTACAACTTGGCCATCTTGAAGGCGGGGAAGGTACCGGTCTCCCTCACGGCCGTGCCTGGGAAGTTTACATGGCACGTTTGACATTACAGAAGCTACTCATTGTATTATGTTCCTCCCCGCCACGCCCTGAGGATGTAGCATGAGGATTAAAGACTCGCGTCGTCCTGCTTCGCAACGCACGAGCCTGCATCTCCGACATTGCGCCAACACTCACATGCCCCCGAAATATGTATTACTCTCTTCCTAGTGTTCACCCGCCCCTCCCCACCCCTCGGATCCCCCTTCATAAGGCCGTCCACAGCGACAGCGCACCCGAAAGCCGACCGAACCGGTGGTAAAATCGAAACCAACCGGAACAGAGGAATCGAGAGATGCCTAGAAGGACGCGGCGGTATAAGAACCAACCGCACCGAAACGACCGAATGAAGCCGACTGCGAAGCAGCCGAACCGACCGAACCGCGCACACACCATTGCTGCACCCTCCCTCGAATATGATCTCACGTCGCATATCTGGCGGCGATCATCTGCCTTCAAGCCCCTGGCCCTGATAAAACCACCGAGTGCCACAGACGGCCACCTCAAAGAATCGTCAAAGGGAGGGGGCCGACAAGCTCCAGCGCCTTCGAGCGGTGCCCTACGCAATACTCTAGCTGAGCGGAGGGAGTATGGACAGTCGAAACATGGCAGCAAGAACGCGGACCACGCTTGGTCCGCGTTCTTGCTGCAATGCTCTAGAACATGAGCCACTTCGCCGAAGAACCAGTGCCTCACGGAGACCTCAAACGAAGACCGCTCAAGATGGAGAGCCCAACCGCGAAGAACAGAAGGGAACCCCACCAAAGCTACGTATGGTTGTCATTGACCCTCGTGCCACAATATGGTCGATGCAATACCCTCCCGTAACAGCACCCGCTCCAACGGAGGATGCCAGCGACAAACTGGACAATCTGAAACCAGCATGTGTCCACCTAGAGAGCGGAGCCTCTACCTCTCACGCGCACGCTGAGAAATGTGAGCCGACAGTTCAGAGTCGCCCGTCTCTGCGCCCCCCCCTCCGACGCAATCTTCTTTCTTTCTCGTGACGTGGCCCCCAGCCAAGGTCTCATGCAGAGTTTCCTTTCTTGACGGTCCCAAGGCTGGGACGCCACATCCAGGAGATGGGGTCGGAGTAGATGGGGACGGAGGACCGCGCCGCATCGCCGGTACATCGACGATACATCGGCGATGCATCGGCGATGCACCGGCGATGCACTGGCGATGAGGCGTCGACGTCGGCGATGTATCGGCGACGTCGGCGTGGAGAAAATCGGGCTCCGCATCGAGCCGCATCGTCGATGCATCGGCGATGCGGCGCGATCCTCCGACCCCATCTACTCCGACCCCATCTAGGAGGCCTAGAGAACACGAGCAAAAAGAGACGAACCACTCTCTGTGACGCCTGGATCTGAGGACGTCCTCTTGCCCCGCCCATCTCCCCATGGCCGCAGCCGTCGTGACTCCGTTGGCGGCAGCGGTCCCTGGAGCTCTGGACACCCTCACTGGGACCGGTTTCTCATCCGAGTCGTTGCTTGCCCGCCCATCGGCCTGGTGAGGGCCTCCCAATTCTGAAACTTACACCGAGAAACATCCGATCGTGATTCTTTACCCGCCCGTGCATGAGGGTCCTCCAGAAAAATCGGCTCCTGGACCGGTCCTGGAGTGCGTTCTGGCCACAGTTTCGAGGCGGGTCCAGCCTTGGCGACAAGGCCTTCCCGAGGCAACAAAAACAAACGAAAACCGCCCAAACCTATCAATCTTCAGACTCGATCACCATTCGACGACGACCACACAAGGGCAGGAGGGCCCATAATCGAATCGATAAATCGGGTCGGCAATCGAAACGGATCAAATCGGCGGAAATTGGCAGCCGAGTCGTGAGAAATCGAATCGGCGGAAATCGCCAGGCTGGTACATCAAAAAACCAAACCGAAACCCACGTCATAATCCGAAATCGAATGGAATCGAAATCGGAATCGGAATCGATAGAAATCACATCGGATCGAACCGAGTCGGAGGAGCTTCGAACTGAGCCCCGCAAGGGGGGTCTGGGCAAGTCCGCCTGCCTGTCGGGATAAGGAAGGCATCAACAGCACAGACTTCGGAGATCCGCGCGGACTTCTCCTTGCCTCGGCGCTGGGCCCCCCTCCCTGGCGCGCGGAGCGCGCCGGGGTTCCCGCCAGAGGCGCCGCCAGGGGGCTTCAGCGCCGATCCAGGAAAAATGAGGTACTCGAGTCTGACCGTTGCGACGCCCCACGGCGCCTCCGCACTTCGGGCACTCCCCCACGTGCCCGCCCACGCGGCAGGCTTCCGAGAGCGACTCCCGCGCCCAGGAGCGGCGCTGCGCCTGCGACGGGGAGGGCAGGCCCCCCCTGGACGTTGGCGGTGGCAACAACGGATGTGCTGGACGCTGGATGCTTGCCTGTTGTTTCTTTTCTCTCTCTCTCTCTCTCTCTCGCCTCGCTCTCCATCTCTTTTACTCTGTCGGTCTCTTCTCTCTCGTATATCTCTATATTCTCTCTCTCTCTCGCTCGTTAACGCTCCCTCTGCTTCCAGATATGTTAGCATAGATGTGTTTGTATATCAAATATATGTATGTACACATCTGCACGCACATGCACACACACACACATTCGTTCGTATGCCGACTAGATGTGTCTCCTCATCTTAGGTGCCTGATCGCACGCATGCATGATGCAGGCGTGAACGCAGATCTACTAGAGAATTCTAGATCTGGCAGATGTGCACACGTGTGTACACGAGCATGCCGATGCACACACGAAACACACACACACACACACGCACAAGTGGACACACTCGTTCATGTGCGTATGAGCATCCACCACCGTGCCGCAGGGACCGAGAGGAGCGTCCTCAGGCCCCTTTCCAGCTCTCCGCGCTGAGCCCCGACCCGATCGGCGGTGGACGGACCTCCCTTCTGTAGACCTCCCCTTAGTGAAAACGGCCGGGGACCGAAACCGACGGACCTGGACCCGCAACAATGACGGCCGCGACGCCCTCTCGCGAACCGAAAACGGCCGATCCCTTAGTCGACGTGTCGAGGGCAGGAGGCCTCTCCACCTCCGACCCGAACACCTCGAGGGGGCCCCCGGCCCTCCCTTGCCGGATGCCCCGGCGCGGGGCGCAGGACTCCCGGGGGCTCGTCGCCGGACCCTTCCAGGACGCCAGAAAGCCCCAGCATTAGGTCGGGCACGTCCCCCTGCAGAGCGGGCAGGACAAGTACGGTCGGGCCTGGGACAGGAGATCATCCTTCGAGAACACGAGACCCTCCGCTGGCCAAAACACCCCAAACCATAAGATCACTCGAAGGTACCCTCCCCCGAAAGGCACAAGAACATCCAACAATCACGAAAAACATCAGGGTACCCTCCCCGAACTGGCCTCGATCTTGTACCTGAGTCCGACCGTATACGAATAAACAGCATGGAGCATCAAGGGAGGTTCGCGCGAACCCGAGAGGCCCCCAGGAGGCCCCAGGAGGTCCCCAAGAGGCCCCAAGAGGCTCACACGGGGTTCCCGGGAAGCCCGAAGAGGCTCCAAGAGGCTCCAAAGAGGCTCCAAAGAGGCTCCGAAATCCCTCCACTGAGGTCCCCGAGAGCCTTCCGAAGAGACCCCAAGAAGCATCCCTGAGGACTCTGGCCCACGTCAGCGTCGTCGCCGCCGCCGCCGCCGTTGCCGTCGTCGTCGTCGTCGTCGTCGTCGTCGTCGCCGTCGTCGTCGTCTCCCTTCAGGGTCGGCGGCACTGGCCTTAGGCCTTCGCAACAAAAAGCATGGAGCATACAGGTAAGTTCGCGCGGATTTCTGCCAGTGCTGGCGCCTCTCCCCACACCCTAGTGCGCCAGGGGCAGCGCCAGAGGCGCCGCCCTCGATCTCGGGGGAGGGGTCCAACGCCGACCAACAAAAATCCGCTCGCACCTCCGAACATGTCCGTTTATGCCGCTCCTCGTTCCTCAACATCTGCGCTGCCGGTCTTTGTCCCAAACAAAGACGTTCACCGCGACACAAGCATCAAACACCGGCCGGAACCGATAGCGAAATCGACACCAACCGAAAGCAACCTGGAAGAGAGCAGCCGCGCTCAGCAACCGACCGCATCGAACCCACCGAACGCAACGGACTGAAAAACAGCCGAGCCGACACCATTCTCGTGAGGTGACAACTAGCACCCATACCTATGCCTATGCCGCTCCCAGACTTCTCGGACTGGAATTCCAGTGAGGGTTATTGGGTGTGTGCTCAGATGGAGGTCCCCGCTGGAACGAAAGCCCCCCTCGGGGTCGGACACCTCGCACCCATACCTCCAGCGCCTTCATTCTGCCAGCCCCTATTCTTCCTCCCCACAGGCTTCAGCGTGCGTTGTCCCTGCATCAACTTGAGCTGGTTTTGTCGGCCCCGCCCCCCCCCCTCTTGGGCGCCCGAGTTATCCGGGGTAACTCGGGTCCGGGGTAACTCGGGCTTGGATTCCCGAAAAAAAACGAGTTAGCCCTGACTCGAGTTACCCCTGATGATTCGGGGCTCTGGACGCCCGAGGTATCCGGGGTAACTCGGGTCCGGGGTAACTCGGGCTTGGATTCCCGAAAAACGAACCCGAGATATCCCTGACCCGAGTTACCCCTGATGATTCGGGGCTCTGACCCCCCCCCCCTCGCGCTGGCGCCGTCTGAGAATGAGCCACTCCTCGGCATTCCAAGACGGTGCCGGCGCGAATCGCGAACCGTGGCGTGACTGGCCCACTACCCCCCCCCCCGTCGCGCCCGGTACCGCCAGGGGATGAAACAAGTGTCTCCTCCTCCTCCTCCTGGCCCAGACCCCCGACGTCAGGATAATTACTGTCTTTACGTCAACCCCCAGAGGTCTCGACCCACTCCCCAAGACCAAGTTTTCTATCCGGAGTCAGTGTTTGATGGTCCCTGGGTCTGGCATGGCCCGCAGAGGCCGTGAGAACCGTCCAGCGTCGATACTCTCAAGTCGGGCGTGTCCCCCTACAGGGGGATCTTCGACGAAAAATTACCCTGGCGACGTATCCAACCCTTGCGCAATGCGGGGCATAAGTACATCAGGATTGCTGCAACGGGGGCGATGATGTAACATGGACGTATGTGATTTTGCGAGCAGCTATCCGAAGGCTCGCGGGCCCCAGATCAAGATCTAAGGGCTGCGTAATAACAAATCACCCCCGTTGGCTGTGCCGTGCGCCCGTTGCACCGAACGTATCCCAAAGCAGCTCTTGAGAGCCCCCGCGGGATACGTGTAGGCGCAACGTTATGGTCATCGCCCGGCAGATGGTCTGTTTCACAAATCACCCCCGTTGGCTGTGCCATGCGCCCGTTGCGCGTAACGCATCCCGCAGCAACTCTCCAGAGCCCCCCCAGGGACGGCGAGGTCCCGCTCAGATCCCCGCGGTGCCTCACTCCGCACGACCCACCAGCAGCCCTCGAAAGTGGCGACAGTGTCGCAGATCGCAGCCCCCCAGGGACGGCGAGGTCCCGCTCAGATCCCCGCGGTGCCTCACTCCAGCGAAAGTGGCGACCACATCGCAGCCCCCCAGGGACGGCGAGGTCCCGCTCAGATCCCCGCGGTGCCTCACTCCGCAGGACCCACCAGCAGCACTCGAAAGTGGCGACAGTGTCGCAGATCCCAGCTCCCCAGGGACGCCGAGGTCCCGCTCAGATCCCCGCGGTGCCTTACTCCGCAGGACCCACCAGCAGCCATCGAAAGTGGCGACAGTGTCACAGATCGCAGCACCCCAGGGACGGCGAGGTCCCGCTCAGATCCCCGCGGTGCCTCACTCCGCAGGACCCACCAGCAGCCCTCGAAAGTGGCGACAGTGTCGCAGAACCCCCCAGGGACGGCGAGGTCCCGCTCAGATCCCCGCGGTGCCTCACTCCGCAGGACCCACCAGCAGCCCTCGAAAGTGGCGACAGTGTCGCAGATCACAGCTCCCCAGGGACGGCGAGGTCCAGCTCAGATTCCCGCGGTGCCTCACTCCACAGGACCCACCAGCAGCCCTCGAAAGTGGCGACAGTGTCGCAGATCGCAGCCCCCCAGGGAAGGCGAGGTCCAGCTCAGATTCCCGCGGTGCCTCACTCCGCAGGACCCACCAGCAGCCCTCGAAAGTGGCGACAGTGTCGCAGATCGCAGCCCCCCAGGGAAGACGAGGTCCCGCTCAGATCCCCGCGGTGCCTCACTCCGTAGGACTCACCAGCAGCCCTCGGAAGTGGCGACAGTGTCGCAGATCGCAGCCCCGCAGGGACGGCGAGGTCCAGCTCAGATCCCCGCGGTGCCTCACTCCGCACGACCCACCAGCAGCCCTCGAAAGTGGCGACAATGTCGCACATCGCAGCCCCCCAGGGACGGCGAGGTCCCGCTCAGATCCCCGCGGTGCCTCACTCCGCACGACCCACCAGCAGCCCTCGAAAGTGGCGACAGTGTCGCAGATCGCAGCCCCCCAGGGAAGGCGAGGTCCAGCTCAGATTCCCGCGGTGCCTCACTCCGCAGGACCCACCAGCAGCCCTCGAATGTGGCGACAGTGTCGCAGATCGCAGCCCCCCAGGGACTGCGAAGAGAGGGCAGGAGGAGGCGAGAGGAGGCGGGAGGGGGGCGGGAGAAGAAGGAAGGACGCGACCACAGTGCTCTATTCAAAACGAATGCCCAACCAAGGAGGGTCGGGAATAAAAAGTACCCACAACAATACTCCAAAATGGCCAACACAGACTCCAAAAATGGTCCCCAGACTGGTTTTACCACTTGGGAAGATTCCCCCTGCATGGAGGCACAAGCCCGACTAGACGATACTCTCTTGTCGGGGATCTTCTGACCCGGGTCAATCCAAACCCGGGTCAGCCAGGCCTTGCAGAATCCTGCAAGATCCTGCAAGACCCTGCACCCACACCCGGGTCAACGCGAAGGATCCTGCAAGATCCTGCAGGATCCTGCACCCAAACCCGGGTCAGTGCGACCCTGGCTCTGCAGGATCCTGCAAGATCTGGCGCTCGGGAGGAGGAGGAGGAGGAGGAGGAGGAGGCGGAGGAGAAAGAGGAGGAGGAGGAGAAGGAGGAGGAGGAGGAGGAGGAGGAGGCTCCCGATCTTGGCGCTCGAGATGCTTCCCGGCGGCCACGAGTCCAGGGGCCTCCGCCCCCGAGCAGCACCGCTCTCCTCGGGGCGGGAGGCGCTGCGCGCGGCCCCCTCTCGATGGGCCTTGGCTTCCACCACCACCACCACCATAAGTTGGAGGGGGGGAAAAAGGAGGAGGACGAGGAGGAGGAGGAGGACGGAGAGGAGGACGAGGAGGAGGAGGAGGAGGAGGAGGAGGAGGAGGAGGATGAGGAGGAGGAGGAGGAGGACCCCCTCCCCCTCCGACAAGCCCATCACCTCTCCCTCCCCCCGCGGGGGGGGGGGGCCTTGACGCCCTCGCCGGCCCACTCCAGGGGGTCCTGCCGGGCCGGGGCACGGGCGGGCAACATGAAGTCGGGCGTGTCCTCCTACTGGGAGATTTTGGATGAACAATAAAACAAAATTCAAACAAATCCCCTAATTCTCAAAACTAATCGAAACATCGTCACAAGACTTTGTTACTATTTTTGAACATTCCCCCTGTGGAGGGACAGGCCCGACTTAAGAGTAAAAAGGGCTTGCGCCAGCGCTCTCCCAGCTCCGCCGCCATTGGCGCGACGTTTAGAGACGGTCTTGCGCGAGATGGCGCAGCGACCTTACGCGGTAGTTTGCGCGGGGCGCCAGCGCGGCACACCACATTGGAAACGAGGGCGCTTGCGCGCGACCTTATGAGCGAGCAGCTTCTGAAGGACGCAATACCCTGGACGGTCCTTGGGCGCCCTATTTGAAGCTTCTCTAGCGGCGCACTGCCGAACAAATCTAAGGACGCCAGGGTGCCCTTAGGAAAGCTTCCGGTCGTTACGATGGATTTTTACTGTCGCAGCACGCACTTTGCGCTGCACACGCGTGGACTCAAGGACCAAAGTCATTGCATACCCATGGTGTTTTGGATTTTCCGTGAAGGGCGCCAAAAGGCAGCGGGGCAACGGATATGGAGTACAACCTAGCGTCTAAGGGCCACGTTCTTAAACACATCCCGTGCGCCTCTGGCTTCTGGGGAAGGTCGCCCGTTTCCAAGAGGCAGCGGATTGGCAAAACAGCGGCTTGCTGCGCGGGTCACGATCGCCCCAGCCAGGGGTTCTGAAACAAGAAGGGCGCCGCAGGGACCACGCCTTGGGCAAGCGTAGGCGCAATGTCGCTGTCTTCCCACCGTGGGCCGTGGATGCGGCTACGCACCTTGCCCGCAGCGGGAGGGCAGATAGCAGCCTGTGCTGCCCGGCGAGGCACGGGCAGTGCGCAGGGGACACCCTCACGCCGCCACCGTGCCTGGCCAAGGCCAGCCCGGGCCTGGGCATGGGCATCGGGATGCGCACTGACCCGGGTCAATGCAGACCCAGGTCAGTCAGGCTTTGCAGAATTCTGCAGAATCCTGCAAAAATCTGGTTCGCTAGCACGAGTCAGCGCACACGCGGCAGACAGGCTTCAAGCACGGTCCGCGATTTCCCGGGCAACAACTCTCGGGGAACTGAGCGCAGCTCGGCCCACAGTTAGCGCACGGCTCTTGGATTCGCATGCCTGACGAGTTGGATCTGGCAGTGCGACCGCACTATTGAGATGCGCCATATGGAGTCATGTTGGCACGCGCCCTCGGTGCGGTAGCGAGCCTCTCACGCGAGCGCGTTCGCGGAACGGGCCGTCGCATAGCGCTCCAGACGAGGCTTTCCCCGCGGTCACGTGCATTCGACGAGAGGGTTGAGGGGCCCGGCGACTCTGGAACACAGTGCCCTTCACAATCCCCCCGTCAACACACAAGTTGCCAGTCCGTCTTGGACCGCTTTCCTATCATAAACGTCACTGACAGGTCTAGATTCTGGCGGTAGCCGAGGCCGCTTGGATGCCAAACCTGTCAAGCCATCCGGTTGTGCGGCAGAATATCGACGGAAGAGGCGGCATGTTCTTCTTCGGTGCCCGACGTCTCATCTCGCCCACTTGCCGTGTCGATGGGGGGTATCGATGTGAAAAATCCCCGGCAACATAATTGCCCTCAGCCGTTGGTCCGCCGATCGCTGCATCCATGCTCCCGCCCCCTGGCGTCGGCCTCACGTCACAGATTCTCGAACCGTTGCCAGAGGGCTGACGTTCCTCCCTACGGCAAAGACGCGGCGTTGACTTGTCCGACCGATCGGCCTCCGAAGACACGTGGACAACGCCATCGGATCCAAAGGAACATGAATCAATGACGTAGGCCTGGTTGACCCACGGCAATAATGGGAAATGCGGAGGACCCCGACTCCCATACCATTCCGTGTCATCCTCTTCGGCTGGATAGCCATCCCACGGTGTATCTGGGCGGCTCGCGCCGTGGCTCGAGGGTGAGGCCGTGCGGTTTGCGGAGTCTGGCGTGCTGAAAATATGCAGAGGACCCGCGGCCGCGCGAGTGGCACAGTCAATGGACGCCGCCGCGAGGGTCCTTTTTACCCAGGTGTATTTCACCATGTCCTCGTACGGGCAGGCTCGGGCCAGTATCTTTTCCACCAATGAAGACCGTCTTCGGGTCCGTCATCATTCCGTACTTGTTTGGTCCCAACATCCCCGAAGCCTGCGACACAATCGCGAAACCTCGATGTGAGCACTTCGGCTGAAAACCAGCATGCTACCAATCAGCCCCCAAATCAGCAATCATGGTCATCGTAGGCGATGTTGTATGGTGTTATTGCTACTCATCGTGTACATTAACATCCCTCGATACGCCTTGGTGCTGTAGAACGTGGTGATTGTTTGGTTCTGGTATGGTAAACATATCTGCTCGAGTAAATGTGTATGATAATGCTGGCCGAAAGAAAAGAAGGCTTGCCGCGCACGCGCGCGTACACCTGAGCACAAGTAGCTGCAACTAGTATGAATGCTAACGCTATTGTGATACATGGCGCCGCCAAACCTCAATTGAAGGGCAATGGCGGCGCGGCAAAAGAAGGCGAGAGGAGCGTTAGTAATGACTCCAAGGCTGACTGCTAAAGCCGTGCAGAGCCACCTCCAAAATGGCAAAAAAGGCGAAACCCGCTGGAGACCAACGCAGAAACATCCGTGACACGCCTCGATGGTGCGCTGGCGCTGTGCCAGGATTTGCCGCAGGCAGCTGGATGGGATAGCAGGGAGGTTTTAATGCGTGCTGTTCAGCGGCGGTGGGAACGATCGCAACGCGGTCGGAGCGGCAGCCAGGTCGCGGAAGCGCGAATGGTGAACAGCAGGAGGCTTCGACACAAGAGGCCTCATGAAATGGTAAGGCTTCGGGTTGCGCGCAGACAGCTCACCCAGGCAGTCCCGGCTGGCCTCAACACTTCCCCCGAGTACTCTCAGCTGGCCTCAACAGGGCCCTCCGAGTAGTCCCGGCTGGCCTCAACACTCCAACCCTGTGGCGCGGAGTGACCAGGGGCGCAGGCAGAGGCGACACCAGGGTGCTGAGACCGCCCGGGGGCCTGTTGAGGCCAGCTGTGACTGCTCGGGGGGCCAATTGACAACCCGAAGCCTCACAATTTCATGAAAGCGGTGGAGGCACCGCCTTTGGTGCCCGTTCCATCTGAGCCTGCGTGGCCCCCGGCGCTGTCCGACTTGGGTTGGATGTGGACAGGACTTGGAACAAATTTGGACCAGATTTGGACTAGATTCGCGGGGAATAGAAGAACGAGGAGGGAGCGGGGGAACAGGAGGGGAGAGGAGGAGCAGGAGGATGAGCCCAATGCGGCCCCCGCGCGGTCCAGATGCAGGAGAAAAGCTGACTTCGGCGTCGCCGCCCAAGGCTCCCATGAACAGACATCGGCCCCTAGGCACCGCCCGCCTTGGCCCGTGGCCTCGTCTTCTGCTCCCCAGCCCGCTCATATGGCGGGCCTCAGAAACCCTGAACCCACAAACGTCTCCATCTCTTGGGAGGCGCTCTTGCTACTTTCGCCACCTTCCGCCGCCCCTCCGCCGCCTTCCGCCGGCGTCCGCCGGCGGAGGCGGCCGCGTTTTGCTTCCGCCGACCTTCCGCCGCCCTTCCGCCGCCCTCCGCCGAGGAAGAGATGACGACTCCCTCCATCCTCGAAGGCAAGGCCATCCTTCGGAACCCCCCAAATATGATCCTGCAGCGCCAGCGCGTCGGCGCCCTCCGGACCCGCCTGCAGCACGCTGGCCCGCAGCCCGGCGTTGGCCCTCAGCGCCGCGACCAGCCCCCGCAGGCGCGAGGGCGCGTCCACGCCGGCGTGCCTTGTTGCCGTCGCCACTTTCGCATCGGACAAATGAGTGAGAGGCCTCCTCCTCCTCCAACTCCTCCTCCTCATCCTCCTCCTCCTCCTCCTCCTCCTCCTTTCAGTCAGACTTTGAGCGGGACTCGTAGCATCGTGTAACATGATTCGCATGGGTAAGACAGAGCAACGTTCCAGAGACAACCACGTGCAGTTCACAATGACATGGTGCAACAGGAGCGCCGAAAGGTGAGCAGGGGAACGACACAGCGTGAAAGATCCTGCCAAAGTAGGTCAACGCAAAATTACCCCCATCCACCTCTATCGCCCTGAACCCAGATCGTCATCCTCCTCTTCCGCCTCATTCGCGCTCTCCAAGAGCACACTAACAGAGTAAGCAACAGTGACGCAACATGGGACGGCGAAATGAGCGAAGCGGCTGATAAAAGCTACCCACATCATTCCTGACTGGCGTCCACTCAACATCGGAGAGAGTCCTTGCTGCCAGCGCCACTTCCGCATCGGTAGAGGCACAACAACCTCATGAGCATGATATCTCGGAGCTCTGTGCGGATATCTTGGATCGAAGCTGGACTACCCTCCCTGGCGCGCGGAACGTGCAAAAGGCGCCACCAAGGCCCCGCGCAAATCGGAGAAATCCGCACAGACCTCTCATGCAATTCTCTGTGCCACTCGAGCGTCGGACACACACGAGTGCTGCCCACCTCGACTGGCACCCTCTGAACATCGGGCAGCGGCCTCCTCCCAGCGAGCACGAGGGCTCGACCGGCGCCTCGAGCGGAGCCCGAGCGCGACGTGCAGAGGCCCTCCGAGGATCGCAGAGGAGAGGGAGGAGGAGGAGGAGGAGGAGGAGGAGGAGGAGGAGGAGGAGGAGGTCTGCATGACCGCCCACCAAACGACGGTGCCGCAGGCAGGGCGGGGCCGCCCCGGCCACGGGGTGCGCCCCCGGAGGGCTCCGGGGCAGCTCTCAGAACTCCCTCGGGGTCGACCCGGCGCAGAAAACCGCACCGGGAGGGCCCTTCCAGAGAGCCCGGCACTGACCCAAGGCCGCCGCGTGAAACTCCTGCAGGACCACGGCCACCCAAGATGGCCCCGAGCCTCGAGGTGGGCCGCGAGTCGTCGGAGCGTCCAAGAAGGCCCAACATGGCTCCACGAGGGCCTCCAGTGCTCCAAGATAGCCTCCAAGATGGATCAAGATAACCGACGATGGGTCAAGATGGCTTCCGACTTACCTCTAAGAGGCCCGACGAGGGCCACAAGACGGTTCCAATTGCTCTAAGAGCCCCTTCAGGACCCCCAAGTGACCAACATCCTTCAAACACCTGCAGAACGTCCATGACTTTGGCCTTCTCGCCGTTTCGCTTACGATGCGCGCTTGATGCCTCAGGATGGCCCAAGAGAGGCCCAAGAGGAGCCCAAGGGGCCCCTCAGACGGCTCCAAGAGCGCCCAAGAGCGCTCAAAAAGGGCTCCAAGAGGCGATGCTGATGACCTCAAGGGCAGGCAAATCGGGGATCCCCACCTTTTGATCGATGGCTTCCAAGATGGCCTCAAGAGGCCCTCCAGGGACCCGAGGGACCCCCAAGAGGGCTCCAAGAGGGTCCCAAGAGGGCCCCAAGACCCCCAAAAGAGCCCCAAGAGGACCCAGAGATCCCCAAACAGAGCCCCAAGAGGGCTCCAAGAAGCGATTTTGAAGGCTTTGACCTCGTCCTCGTTGTCCTCCTCCTCCTCTTCCTCCTCCTTCTCCTCCTCGTTCTCGTCCTTGCCCTCATCGTCTTCATTTCCTCTTCCTCGTCGTCGTGGTGGTCGTCCTCCTCCTCCTCCTCCTCCTCCTCCTCCTACTTCTCCTCCTCCTCCTCCTCCTCCTCCTCCTCCTCCTCCCTACTCGTCCTCTTCTTTCCCTGGCTCCCGCGCGGGCCCCACCGAAGAGGCCCTCCCAAATCCACCCCCTAGCTCGTGGAGGTTTCTCTGTTCACACTGGTTGCCCGCTTTGTTTCACCACATGTCACATGTGTCTGTTCGTTCCTTTTCCCGTCACCTCTCATGGGCAGGGTTTGTGAATGCGCCAGTTGAGATGCGCAAGACATATACGTTTTCCTTAGTTTGCAGTTGTTGGATTTCGACTTCTCTGTGCTCGTCCTGCGACTCGCCTGCTCTTCCAGAGGCCTCCCAGATGGGCTCCGACTAGGCGGGGTCGGAGGATTGCCCCACATCGCCGATGTATCGCCGATGCATCGGCGACACCGGCAATGCATTGGCGCCGTTGGCGTGGACAACACCGGGCCCCACATCGAGCCGCGTCACCGAGGCATCGGCGATGCATCCCCGTCTTGGAGGCTCAGCCCCTCGACTGCCGCGCGCGGCCCGGGGCCCGCCCGGATCCCACTCGCCAGAGTCCCCGTTCGCCAGCTCCTCTTCGCCAGGACCCCGTTCGCCAGGGCCCCGTGCGCCGGTCCCCGTTCGCCAGGACCCCGTCCGCCAGTCCCTGTTCGCCAGTCGCCGTTCGCCGGTCCCCATCGTACGCCGGAGTCCCTGTTCGCCAGCCCCTGTTCGCCGGTCGTCGTTCGCCGGAGTCCCCGTTCGCCACGGCCCCGTTCGCTGGTCCCCGTTCGCCTGCATGCGCGTCCCTGTTCGCCAGGCGGGCGGGCCCAGAGGCGGGCGGACCCTAACGGGCGGGCGGGCTGGAGGGCGGCGGACCAGGCGGCGCCGACGAAGACGACGACGACGAGGACGACGACGACGACAATGGCGACAACGACGACGGCGACGACGAGGACCAGTACGACGAAGACGAAACGACGACGACGCCGACGCCGACGAGGGCGGCAACGACGGCAACGACGACGACGACGGCAACGACGACGACGACGACGAAAGCGGGCGGACGTTAACGGGCGGGCGGCGCGTCGGGCGGGCGGGACAGTAAAGTACGACGCGTGATGGAAGTATAACACGCACACCCGAACGGACGGGTTGGGGCGGGCGGGCGGGCCCAAATGGGCGGGCGGGTGGGTCGGGCGGCGGGCGGGCTCTGGCGTGCCAGCGGGCGGCGGACCGAGCGGGCGGGACAGGAAGGTATGGCGCATCATCGAGGCAGCACACGCGTACCCGAGAGAGCGAATCGGGTCGGGCAGGCGGAGCCTAAGGAGCGGACGGGTCGGTCGGGCGGACCCTAACGGGCGGGCGGCGGGTCGGGCGGGCGGGACTTACAAACATGATGCGTAATCGAAGGATCACGCGCACACTCTAACGGGCGTGTCGGGCGTGTCGGGCGTGTCGGGCGGCGGGCGGACCCTACTGGGCGGGCGGGCGGCGGATCGGGCGGGCGTGACATGAAAGTATGACGCAATCATCCAACTAACACACGCGAACCCTAACAGGCGGGTCGATTCGGACGAGGACCCTGACGAGCGGGCTGGTCGGGCGGGCTCTTAAAAATATGACGCGTAATCGAAGTGTCACACGCACAACCTAACGGGCAGGTTGGGTCGGGCGGGCGGACCCTAACGGGTGGGCGGGTCGGGCGGCGGGCGGACCCTAACAGACGGGCGGGGGGGCGGATCGGGCGGGCGGGACATTGAAATATCGCGCATCATCGAAGCAACACACGCGCAGCTTAAAGAGAAGGTCGGGTCAGACGGGCGGACCCTAACGGGCGGGCGGGCGGATCGGGCGGGCGGGCGGTACATTAAAGTATGACCTGCAATCAAGGTGGCACACGCGTGCCCTAACGGGCGGGTCGGTTCGGGCGGGCGGACCATAATGGGCGAGCGGGTCGGGCGGCGGGCGGACCCCACAACGGGCGGGCGGGCGGCGGATCGGGTGGGCGGAACATTAAAATATGACGCATCATCGAAACAACACACGCGCACCCTAATGGGCGGCACTGGTCGGGCGGGCGAACCTTAACGAGCGGGCGGGTCCGGCGGCCGGACCCTAACGAGCGGGCGGGCGGGCGGCGGGTCGGGCAGGCGGGACATTAAGTATGACGCATCATCGAGGCAACACAACACACACGTACCCCAACGTACGGGTCGGGTGGGGCGGGCGGACCCTAATGGGCGAACGAGTCCGGCGGCGGGCGGGGCCCTAACGGGCGGGCGGGCGGCGGACCAGGCGGCGACGACGAAGACGACGACGACGACAACGACGACGACAAGGGCGACGACGACGACGACGACGACGACGACCACGACAACGACGACGGCGACGACGACGACGGCGGCGCCGCCGACGACGACGAGGCCGTAATAACGACGACGACGACGACGGCGACGTCGACGACAATGGTGGCAACGACGACGAAATCGGAACGACGACGACGTCGTCGACGACGACGACAACGACGACGGCGGCATTGACGACAACGACGTCGACGACAAGGGCGACAACGAGACCAAGGGCGACAACAACGACAACGACGACGACAACGACGACAACGACAACGACGACCTCGACAACGATGACAAAGGCGGCAACAACGACGACGACGAGACAACGGTGGCGACGGCGACGGCGACGACCCTCCCATGCAAGTCCACGCGTCCTTCACTCTTTCTCTGGAGGCCTCCTAGGTGGGGTCGGAGTAGATGGGGTCGGAGGATCGCGCCGCATCGCCGACGCGTCGGCGACGCATCGGCGATGCACCGGCGATGCACCAGCGACGATGCGTCGTCGACGTGGGCGATGCATCGGAGACGTCCGCGTGGGGAACATTGGGCCCGACATCGAGCATCGAGCCGCGTCGGCGATGCATCGGCGGCGCGGCGCGATCCTCCGACCCCATCTACTCCGACCCATCTGAGAGGCCCAGATTCTCCTCCTCCTCCTCCTCCTCCTCCTCCTCCGGCTAGACGTAAGAATGACCCTGGGTAAGAGTGACCTTTGGTGCGCCGCTTTTGGGGGCGCGAGAGAGCCAAACCCGAGGGCGCGGGCCGCTTACATCGCATCGCGCTCGGCGATCGGGGGGAGCTCTGGCGAAAGGTCACTCTTACGTGTAGACTCCTCCTTGCCCCTGTTCGCGGCCCGCCTCGCCACAGAGGCGGCGACCGCCGCGGCCGTGTCCGCCGGCCGAGGCCCGGCGCCGAAGCCCGCCTCGCTGGGCCCCGCGAGGGCCTCCTCGAGGAGCGCCGCGGCCTTCCTGCGGGGGGCGGGCCGCGCGAGGACTCCCCGACAGACCTGCGGGAACTCCCCTCCCTCCCTCCCTCCCTCCCTCCCTCCTCCCTCCCTCCCTCCCTCCCCTCCCCTCCCTCCCTCCCTCCCTCCCTCCCTCCCTCCCTCCCTCCCTCCCTCCCTCCCTCCCTCCCTCCCTCCCTCCCTCTCCCTCCCTCCCTCCCTCCCTCCCTCCCTCCCTCCCTCCCATCCCTCCCTCCCTCCCTCCCTCCCTCCTCCCTCCCTCCCTCCCTCCCTCCCTCCCTCCCTCCCTCCCTCCCATCCCTCCCTCCCTCCCCTCCCCCCCCCCTCCTCCTCCTCCTCCTCCTCCTCCTCCTCCTCCTCCCCTCCTCCTCCTCCTCTCCTCTCCTCCTCCTCCTCCTCCTCCTCCACCTCCTCCTCCTCCTCCTCCTCCTCCTCCTCCTCCCTCCTCCTCCTCCTCCTCCTCCTCCTCCTCCTCCTCCTCCTCCTCCTCCTCCTCCTCCTCTCCTCCTCCTCCTCCTCCTCCTCCCCTCCTCCTCCTCCTCCTCCTCCTCTCCTCCCTCCCCCTTCTCCCCCTTTCTCCCCCCCTCCCCCCCTCCCCTCCCCCTCCTCCCCCTCCCCTCCCCCTCCCCCCTCCCCCTCCCCTCCCCTCCTCCTCCCCTCCTCCCCCTCCTCCTCCTCCTCCTCCTCCTCCTCTTCCTCCTCCTCCTCCTCCTCCTCCTCCTCCTCTTCCTCCTCCTCCTCCTTCTCCTTCTCCTCCTCCTCCTCCTCCTCCTCCTCCTCCTCCCCGCCCTCCCCGCCTTCACTCCTCCCTGTTCCTCCCCTCTTCCGAGGGCCTCGAGGCTCCGGGCGGAGACGCCCAGGAAGAGGAAAGGTCCGCCACGCCGCGAGCTCAAGGCCGCCTGGCTTCCAGGGACTGGGTCAGCCAGAGGGGGTAATGAAGGCTCAGGAATGCAAGGTCTTGATTAAAAGCCCTGGTTCCCCACGACACGAACCAAGGCCGAAGTCTTCACGGCACGAACCTGCCGATACCAGATCACGAAGGGCAGTATGGCACGAACATGCGACGTCTTGATTATTCACGAGTGAGCCTCAAAATGTCCAGACCCTTTCCACAAAAACTGAGACAAAAAACAGCGGGTCGTACGTGAGATGACTTAGCGACCATACGCGGCGGCGTACGCGGGCCGCCAACGCGGAACGCTTCATTGGAGACGAGGGCGCTTAAGCGCGACCTTCCGGTGGCAACTTACGCGCCAGTGTCGGCGCAGACGAACCGATTTATTGGCGTCGCCCAACTGGGTCCCCAGAGATCATGACCCTTTTCCACTGGGCTGGTTTGTTCATACCGGGTAGTTTTGATGACGGCCCCCGGGCTCAGCGATGGCCGCAAGAGGCCGAGAGAACTGGAGGCCTCCTAGATGGGGTCCGAGTAGATGGGGTCGGAGGATCGCGCCGCATCGGCGATGCATCGCCGATGCATCGGCCATGCATCGGCGATGTCGGCGGAGCTTCGGCGACGCTAGCGCGGAGAGCATCGGGCTCCACATCGAGCCGCATCGGCGATGCATCGGCGAAGCGGCGCGATCCTCCAACCCCATCTACTCGGACCCCATCTATCGGGGATGGATAGAATCCCCTTTAGTAAACCGTGGCTCAATGAAAACTACCTCGGGCCCAAACCTGGCGGGCGCAAGCATGGAAAATGACAGTCGCGGCGCCCTCTCGAGAACCGAAAACGGACAATTCACTAATCGACGTGTCAGGGTTGGGGTTCTGTCCACCCCCGATGTAGGAGGCCTGGAGTCATACGCGCCGCGTCCAGATACATCCGCGCCACCGTTCCGAGGAGAAGAAGACGCCTTGATGTGCTGAGGGTAGAACTCTGCAATCCAAGCAATTGCAGACACATCGTGAGCCTGGCCGCATGCCAACACAATGCATGCCAGATGCAAGCCTCGTACACATGAATTCCGCCAGCATTCTGATATGGCTCACCGCACCGAGGCATGTGAATTTGAAATGATGCTCTCCGCGGGGAGAGTCCATTCCTAATAGAACGCCCCCGCGCCTCGCCCCCCTCATTGAGCAGGAACCGACCGTCCCGGCATTACTGTAGTCTTACCACGGAATGTTCTTTTTTTAGAACCCAAAGAATGTCCTAGGAACCAAAACACGTTTCTTAGAACATAGGCCCGATGTGTTAAAACAACACAGTCCCGGCCAAACTTGTTCTAAGAACACTTCGTGGAAACCACAGAAAGGCTCTTAGAACGTTCTTTGGTATGCCTACAGGCGAGCCGGGACGCTTCGCCACTGCTTGACCTCACGCGCGCCGCCTGTGCCTCCATCACGGCGCTCATCTGGGAGGCCTCTGGCCTGTGCCCCTAGGCGAAGATGCGCACCTTCAGCGCATGGCCTGCCTCGGCGTCCGCCGGCGGAGGCGCCGCGGCCGCGCCGCTGGCCCGCGGCCCCGCGGTGGCGGGCGGGCCGCCCGAGCCTCCGGCCGCCCCCTCGTGGGGGGCCGCCAGCAAGGGCAGCATGACGGCGTCCGTCACACCACACCACGCGTCGAACGCGTGCTTGCGGGCCCTGCACGCCTCCTCGCCCTGCGACGCCTTCGCGTTCGCCTCGCCCCACGCGTCCCTCCGCCAGTGGGACATCGCGTGGAGGTGGCGCGGGGCTTTGCAGCCGCTGGGCAGCCACACGAAGCAGCCCGTGCTCCTGGGGAGGGCCGGCGCCGCCTCGGGCAGCGAGTCGACCACGTCCGCGGCCCGCGCCTCCTTGGCCGCCGCGTCAGCCTCGGCAACTGCCTGCAGCACCGACTCTGGCGCCTCTGGCGCCTCCCCCTGCCCCCCTTCATCCTCCACGAAGACCTCCCGAGGAGATGTCAGCAGCATGACGGTGTCCGTCACACCACACCACGCGTCGAACGCTTGCTTGCGGGCCTTGCACGCCTTCTCGCTCTGCCCCGCCTGCGCGTTCGCCTCGCCCCAAGTGTCCCTCCGCCACTTGAACTTCGCGTGGAAGTGATGCGGAATCTTGCAGCCGCTGGGCAGCCACACGAAGCAGCCGGCGCTCCTCGGCCGAGCTGGGCCGCAGGCGAGACTGGATGCGCTGCACATGCGCCCTGGGGCCGACGCGGCCTGTGTCGCGTTCTCCTCCTGGTTCTCCCCCTGCGCCTGCCCTGGGAGCTCCGGCGGCGTGCCCTCGAGCTCCTCGCCGGACGGCGTGTCGGCGGGGACGCCCGCCGCGGTGGAGGCCTCGGCTGCTGCGACGCTCTGCAGCTGGACGGCTCCGGCGGGCACTCCCAGGAGCAGGGCGGCGAGGACGCCGGCGCGGGCCCGCGGCATCTGGCGCGGCAGGGGCGGTAGGACAGAAGGTGCTGGATCGGAACGGGCAAAAGTCTTGAGCCAACATGGATACGGGGGAGGAGGAGGAGGAGGAGGAGGAGGAGGAGGAGGAGGAGGAGGAGGAGGAGGAGGAGGAGGAGGAGGAGGAGGAGGAGGTGCAGGAGGACTGCCCCTGCACCCCCGAATCCAGGAGGTCTGGGGGGTCTTGGGGTTCTGTCCGAGCCCCGAGTCTGGGAGGTCTGGGAGAACTGCCCCCCGGAGCCCCCCCGCCGGGATTTTTGAACACGGCGCGGTCATTGTCTGTCTGGGGCCGCGGCCCCCCGAGCTCCCGACCCCCTCTGGGCCACGCGCAGCGGGGGGCCCGGGGGAGGCAGGGCCGCTTCTGGGAAGGAGGCCGCTTCTCAGAGGGGAGTAGGAGGAGCTTCTGAGAGGGAAGAGCTCCTTAGAAGGAGGCAGCTTCTGGGACGGAGGGGCCTCCTAGAGGGAGGCAAGGGGAGGCGGAAGGCTCCTTCTGAGAAGCCCCTCCCCCTCCCCCTCCCCCCCTCTTGGCAGGAGGAGCCTCCTGGAGGGAGGTAAGGGGAGGCGGAAGGCTCCTTCTGAGAAGCCCTTCCCCCTCCCCCCGTACCTCCCTCTGCGCGTGGCCGACCTTCTCCGAGCGCGGCCCTGCATCCCGGACCCGCTTCTCGGGGTCCCGGGGCCCCGTGGACGGCCCTGGAGGCCCAATTCGAGACTCCGCCGGTTGAAACACCCACGCCGTCGGAGATCTGGGGTGAGCGCGAGGAGGAGGAGGAGGAGGAGAGGAGGAGGAGGAGGAGGAGGAGGAGGAGGAGGAGGAGGAGGAGGGAGGATGGAGGAGGAGGAGGAGGAGGAGGAGGAGGAGGGGGAGAGGAGGAGGAGAGAGGAGGAGGAGGAGGAGGAGGTAGGAGGAGGAGGAGGAGGAGGGGAGGAGGAGGAGGAGGAGGAAGGAGGAGGAGGAGGAGAGAGGAGGAGGAGGAGGAGGGAGAGGAGGAGGAGGGAGGAAGGAGGAGGGAGGAGGAGGAGGAGGAGAAGGGCCCTCGACCTCGCGGCGGGTCCTGCTGTCAGCAGGTGGGTTTGGTTCGCCGAGCCGACCACGCTTTCTGGGAACTAGAGGAGCTAGAGGAGGAGGAGAGGAGGAGGAGGAGGGGGAGGAGGAGGAGGAGGAGGAGGAGGAGGAGGAGGAGGAGGAGAAAAAGGAGGAGAATGAGGACGAGGAGGAGGAGGAGGAGGAGGAGAAGGAGTTTGAGGAGGAGCTTCTCTCAATTGCACAGAAGGCGGTCTCTCGATGGTGGGCAGCCGCCCCTGCGCCCGTCTTCTCTAACGCAGGGGCAACCGCCAGCGCCCAATTTGTCGCAGTCGGCGATGATCTCTTGAAAGCCATGTGGATGGGTCGCGGGTGGGTCGCGGGATGGGTCGCAGGCGGGTTGCGGGTGGGTCGCGGGGGTGGGTCGCAGGTGGGTCGCGAGTTGTGTCGCGGGGTGGGTCGCGGGTGGGTCAACGGGTGGGTCGCGTGGCGGGTCGCGGACCCATAGCGGGCGGGTCGGGAAGGCGGGCCCAGGCGGCCAGGTCGAGCAGGCGGGTTGCTGAAGCGTCAGTCCTGCATGAATCGCGATGGAATCTCAAACGATATTGCGATTCCCAAGTGAATCGTGGGAAAAAGCCAAAGCGAGAGCGTGATTCCTGAGTGTCGAGGGTGCGGCGTTCGAATAAGTCGCGAAGAGATCCCACGCAAGAGCGCGATTCCTGCATACATTCGGAGGACGTCCCACACGAAAACACGATACTGAAATACACTGTGAGGAGGTATCTGGCGGGGGCCGTTGTTGTTGCAGTTCGGGGGCCAGAGGGCCAGTTTGCCCTTCAGGCCTTCAAGGCTTCCCCTGCTGAAAAGCAGAGCGCGAGCCCAAGGAGGGGCACTTCACTTGGAACAAGACAATGGTCGCAAGAGTGGGGGGATCAGCAAGAATCATTCTTCAAAGATATACAGGTGAACAGAAACAACAACAGCAACAGCATCAGCAACAACAACAACGAGACAAATCCGTGCTGTGCAGTCCCACTTCAGCCGCGCACCCAGGGACAATCAATTACAATGTTGCTCCCTATCTCGTATATACAAAGGAATGTAGGAATCATCATGTGATAGGTTTATACAGTACGATCCGCTCTATACGAATGCACTAAACAGAATTGGCATAATCGAACAGACAACATTCGAACAGACAAAAATACATGTACGTAAGTTAATAGTTGATTGCATGACTTGGTACAACAAGACCAACGATGATACATTATAGGAATAAAGTGTCCGGACGTTGTTACACTATGCTATGCTATGATATGAGGGGTATGCTATGTTACGATCAGCTGCGATATGCTATGATATAATGCTCGGTGGTACAGTATAATGAAAGTTTGCCACACAAGAGGCTCATCCAAGCATACAATATGATACAACATACTGCGGCACGATGTAGTACAACATCGTACCGTACAACGTTCGTGATATGGAATGGCAAGTAACATACCATAGCGCAGTGTGAAGCACTTTATGACCTGATGGGATACATCCTAATGCAATATGGATGTGCGTCTCATGACCTAGTATCGAATGCGAGCATACACTATAATATAAAACATGTCATTTGATCGGCAACACTCTGCTCTGACCGTATGCCAACTAAAACATGTTTGACATATCATACAACATAATACAACATAGGATTCGATCGTACACTATGGCAAGTGATAATAAAGCTGACATGCACATATATTATAACACACACATATGATACATGCAATGTGACGCACTACAGCATACTGTTTGCTATACTGATATGTATGTGTTTACATGCATGTTGTGTTGAGCAGGGGATGGTCGTCTCATCATGTCTTACATGCTTCAATTGGCTGATCGGTGCCTCCCGCGAGGCCCGGCCAGCGAACTCCAACTGCGGCGTTGATGCTGTGAGCGAGCATCCGGCGACTATCCGCCGCTGTGCCGCTGGGCACGGAACGGGCGTGTCCTCGGGTCCTCTCACTGCCCCTCGAAGCCTCAGTCCTCACTCCTGGGGAGTCTTTCAGGGGTTCGGAGCCCCTCGGCCCAAATCTCCTGGGACTTGTCGCGTGCCCTCTGGGCTTCGCCGAGCGGTGCCGCATCCTTTGTTCGGGCCCAAGGGGGCCCCAAGACGGGCCAAGAGCGACCCAATAAGCCCCCAATACGGTCAAGAGGACCCCGAGTCGTCGAACGATCGCTCCAAGACGCTCAAGATGGCCCCCAGACGGCCCAAGAGGCCTCCAAGACGCCCAACGAGTCCTCCAAGAAGCCTCCCAAGAGGGCCCCGAAAGGCCAAAATCATCGACTGTCCTTATTTGTTTGAAGGATTTGGGCATTCTCGCCTTTTCGGCTTCCCGACGCTCCCAGGCGGCCCTCAAGGCCCACGATACCGCCCCAAGAGGCCTCCAAAAGGGCCACCAAACGACCCAAGAGGGCCCCAAGACAGCCCAAAAGGCGCCCATGAGGCCCTAAGAGGCCCCCAAGAGGCCCCAAGAGGCTCCCAGGAGGCCCCCAAGAGGCCCCCAAGAGGCCCCCAAACGGCTCCCAAGAGGCGCCCAAACTGCCTCCAAGAGGCCCCCGAGAAGCTTCGCACGAGACCCCAACGAACATCAAATAGGCTTCATACCCACAACCCAGGTATTGTGGCAGGTTGGGCCGAAGGCCATTACATCCGCCGCCCCCTGTCGATTCATCGCAGGGGTGCCTGGCGTGCTGAACCCTTTCGGTTTTGGTGTTGTGTTTTTTTTTCCAAGAGAACTCATCCTGGGGCTTCGGCCTGTCCCGCCGGCCACCCGAAAAGATTGCCCAGGATCTCAATCCCCCCAAAAACCCTCCAAGACGGCTCAAGAGGGCCTCTAAGATGGCCACGTTGGCCTAAGATGGCCTCCAAGATTGCCCCAAGATGCCTCCAAGACGGCCCAAGATGCACCCAAGACGGCCTAAGATGGCCTCAAGCTGGCCCAGGACGGCCCAAGAGGCCCCCAAGAGGCCTCCAAGACGGCCCAAAAGGCGTCCAGGAGCTTCCAGGAGGGCACGAAGAGGCCAAAATCATTGATTGTCCCAAGGTTTTTGAAAGATTTTGGCATTTGCTTCTTCTCGGCATTCCGACGGCTCAAGACGGCGCAAGAGGCCCCAAAAATCGCTCAAGAAGCCTCCAAGATGGCCCCGTGACAGCCCATAAGGCCCCCAAGACGGCCCCAAGAGGGCCCCAAAACGGCCCAAGAGGCCTCCAAGACGCCCAAGATGGCCTCTAAGAACTCCTGATATGCCCCAAGAGGGCCCCAAGACGACCCAGACAGGCCCCCAAGACGGCTTCCGACGGCGTCAGAAAAGCCAGGAACGCCCTAAGACGGCCAAAGAGGCCCCCAAGAAGCCCCGAAAGGCCCACAAAAACCCTCCAAGAGGCCCCCAGGAAGCTTCCAGGAGGCCCCAAGAGTGCCCCAAGAGGCGTCCAAAAGGCCTCCTCCTCCTCCTCCGCCTCCTCCTCCTCCTCCTCCTGCTCCTCCTCCTGCTCCTCCTCCTCCTCCTCCTCCTACTCCTCCTCCTCCTCCTCTTTGTTCTCAGCCTTCCCCTCCTCGTCTTGCTTCCCCACGCGTTCCCCGAAGTCTTTCCAAACCGACTCGGGGAACAACTGGCCCGATAGTTAGGCCAAGCTCTGGCCCAGCTGTCGGCCACAGAGGCGCTTCCAAATGGGCAGGGGGCGGCGGTGATTCGCTGTAGGCGTCTTCCACAAGTGAACACATATATATATATATATATATACAGTGGAGTCCAGTCCACAAGAAACCTTCCACAAGAAACCCAACGCTGGGACATCAAAACGTCCATTGATGTTTGGTGTGGGAACGTCGCGCCGTCCACAGAAAAACCGTCGAAACTCAAGAAACTCAGGGCACCCTGGAGGCAAGCAGGGTGTTTATTGGCATGGGACCCCACTGTGAGTGTGCATATATATAATATATATATATATATATATATATATATATATATATATATATATACGTATATGTATATCCATGGATGGGAAGCTGCCCCCGAATGTCAATCGCGCCCTGCTCCCGGGTGCCAATCCTGTTTGTGTGCGACGGGGAAGACCGAAACGGGCAGCATGGTTCGACAGCTGGCGAGCAAGAGGCGAGTGCCGCCACACACCTTACACCTGGGTCCAGATATTCTGGTGCGGCCTGGGAGGTCCTCGTTCTCGACCTCCTCCTCCTCCTCCTCCTCCTCCTCCTCCTTCCTCCTCCTCCTCCTCCTCCTCCCTCTCCTCCTCCTCCTCCTCCTCCTCCTCCTCCTCCTCCTCCTCCTCCTCCTCCTCCTCCTCCTCCTCCTCCTCCTGATCCTCCTTCTCCTTCTCCTTCTCCTGCTCCTCCTCTCTCGGCGTTGTGCGCGTCTAGCCCGCACGCTGTGGCTCGGTTGGAACTGCTCCCAGTGTGTTCTTGTGCCCCCCACAGTACCCGCCCACGAGCGCTGCAGTGCGCACGTCGCCGCTGCGCGCCGCACCTGCTGCCGCTCTTGCCCCGAAAGCGCCTCCCTCGACTGCTGCCTGTGGCGCCTTCGTTGGCTCCCGCAGGTTGTCCGGGCGAGCATAGCTCAGGGCGACAAGGCCTATGCACATCCTCTGCTCATGGTCAGGCCCATCCTGGGCCCATGACGAGTGGTGCACGCCCTCCTGGCTTGGCAGGGCAGGCATATATATATCTTATATATATATATATATATATATATATATATATATATATATACTAGAACCACGCGCGCGCTTCGCGCGCGCTTAGGTTCTAGCGCAGGCCAGGGGAGAATTACAACATATTGGGATCCTCTTGGTAGAGCGAATGTTTCAAGCCTTTTTGGGGTTCTAAGAGACTGGAGAGGCGAGAACGCGTAAACATCAGAAAACCACACAGAGTGGCATGATTGGGTTTTCTTGGCGGCGCTCTTGGGGCTCTTATGGGGCCCTCGAAGGCCGTCCCGGAGCGCTATTGGGCAGACTTGGGAGGCCGGGGCCGTCTTGGGGCTCTCTTGGGGCCCTGTTGGGCCCTCTTGGGGGTCTCCTGTGGCTCGCGCAGGGCTCTCTTGGGAGCCTTTTGGGCCCTTTGAGGCCGCTCTTGGGCCGTCATGGGGCTCTCTTGGGCCGTCTTGGTGCTCTCTTGGGCCGTTTTGGGGCCCTCTTTGGGCCTCCGGGGCCGACTTGGGAGGATCTAGGGGGCTTCTTGGGACGTCTTGGACGCTCTCGAGACCAAACAAGCGAATATGCTAAAAATGTACGTTTTCCGAAGGGAATGTGCCGATTTTTGCTTCGTCGGGGTCCTCGTTGGAGCCTCTTGGGGCGTTTTCGGGGCCTCTTGGGCCGTCTTGAAACCATCTAGGGCACTGGGAAGTCATCTGGACCAGTCCTGGGGACCCCTTGTGGCGCTTTCGGGTGCTCTTGGCAACCTCTTGGGCAGTCTGGAAGCCATCGTGGGCGCTCTTGGAGCGTCCCAAGGGCTGTCTTGAGCGGCCGGGGAGCGGCCGAGGAGGCCCCAGGGGGGGTGGACCCAGATTGGGGGTTCGAGGCAGTGGTTTCCAAGCGCCTCCTGGAGCCTCTTGGGGCCGAAAGCTCGGAATTCTACAGTGGCTTTCTCCCTCTGGGACCCCTCTCGGGCACGCCTTGGGACTCTCTTAGGCCATTTTGGAATCCAATTTTGCCGTCCTGGGCGCCTCGTGAACCGTCTTGGAACTCTCTTGGGGGCCACCTAGGCCGTCTTGGGAGCCTCTTGGGGGTCTCCTGGGGCCTCATGAGGGGCCTCCTTGGGGCCTCCTGGCGGCCTCTTGGGGCGGAAGGCTCGAGCTTGCGGTTCGTGGTCCCCCTCTGGGCCCCCTCTTGGGCCCGTCTTGGGGCCCTCTTGGGCCATCTTGGGCGCCTCTTGGGCCGTCTTGGGGCCCTCTTGGGCTGTCCTGGGGCCCTCTTGGAAGCTTCTTGGGCCGTCTTGGGGCGGTCTTGGGCGCCTCTTGGGCCGTCTTGAACGCGGCGAAAGCCCAAGAGGCGAACATGCGAAAAATATACGTTTTCCCATAGGAATGGCACGATTTTTGCTTCTTGGGCCTCTCTTGGGCTGCCTCTCGGAGCGTCTTGGAGGCTTCTGGGACCTTCTTGGTGTCATGACAGGCGTCTTGGAAGGCATCTGGAGCCATCGGAGCGCGTTCCGAAGCCGCCTGCGAACGATCTTGGACGGCGTCCGGCGGTCCGACGAGCCTCCGGGCCCCCCGGGGCCCACATTTGTGGTCGGGGTCCCGGCCCCGGGCCCCCGGACCCGGTGCGCCGATATATGTATATATATATATATATATATATATATATATATATATATATATATATATATGATTCAGGGCTGCCCCCCCGATGCTGACATCATCAGCACCCCCCCGGGCTGGATGGGTGGATGGGTACGCCCGTGAGCCTCGCGTCTGCCTCGCGACGGGGATCGCTCCCCTCCCCGTGGTCGTGGGCACGAGGGCGTGTGAAGGGGCCCTGGGACACACAAATAAATAAACACAAATAAACATGTTCCCCATATTTTCCTGTATTTTCTGGGTTTTTGTCCTCCCCACCACTTCCCATATTTTCCCATACTTTCTGGGGGATCGACGATTCATTGTGTCTGTGTGTTTTTGTTCCTTCCTGGGCGCGGCGTGGTCCGAGGTTGACCGCTCCGCGGCGCTCCCGCCGAGAGCCTGCCGAGACCGGGGCCGCCGGGCCTCGCGGGGGGGGGGGTCGTGCCCGCCCCCCCCCCCGCCGTCTGGTTGTGGCCCTGCTTGCGTGGCGTGGCGGCGGGTGCCGGCGACCCCCCGTCTCTCCCTGTGGGCGTGGGGCGGCTCGTCGTCGTCGTCGTCGTCGTCGTCGTCGTCGTCGTCGTCGTCTTCCACTGGCGTCGGTGTCGTCGTCCTCCGTCGGCGTCACGTCGGCCTGGGCGTCTGCGGCGTCTGCGGCGGCGTCTGCGGCGGCGTCTGCGGCGGCGTCGTCGGCGGCGTCGTCGGCGTCGTCGTCGGCGTCGGCGTCGGCGTCGCCGTCGCCGTCGTCGTCGTCCTCCCACCGCCTCATCGTTCCTTGGGGGGGGGGGCCTGCGGAGCCCTGGGACCCATCCCATCTGGGTTCGGGGCCTGTGAACCCTCGACCAGGGATCATGTGCACCGCTCCTGGGTCGACCCAGGAGCGGTCGACCCCGGAGCGGGTATCCACTGCTCTATCCTGGGTCCAGGATAGGGCAGCGGATACGTCTAGCTCTCGTCGCCGGAAGATGGCATGTGCATGAGCCGTGGGCTCCGCGCAGACTTCTTCGGCCCCGGCCCGCGCTGGGTCCCCGCCGGAGGGCGGCGCCACACGCACCGCCAGGGAATTTCGGGAGGGAGGATGGTCTATAGCCGCGGAGGGGTGTGGGGAGAGGGGCCTGGCGCCGACCCAAGACGTGCATGCGGCACACCTGTTCGCGCGCCGCCCCACGCCACACGGGCATGTATGAAACAAAACAGATGGCGTCCGAGCTCTTTGGAAACGTGCCCGCCTGAACTGAAGGCTGAGCGGCCAGGAATCTCGTGCTTGGGAAGCAACTCCTGGGACGTCGTCACGGGAGCGGCTGAAGGATATCAAACCAGATTAGGGCACCATAAACCCAGATTGCTAAATCCGCCGACCCTGTCGGCGTCGTCTTCGAACCCTCTCGGGCCACTTGAGGGCGCTCTTTGCCTATCTTGGCACTCTCTGACGCCGTTCCCGAACCCTGGAGAAGGCCTCTTGTGCTGTCTTCGGACGACCTTGCAGACATCTGGCGCCGTCTTCGAGCCATCTGAGGGCATCTTGGACTCCTCTACCTCCATTGTCTTCGTCGTCGCTGCCTACAGGGTCGGCGGCATCGGCCGCAAGGCCTTCGCAATGTCAAGCCCTGGATCCATCTGGACTCAGCCGGGTACGCGTGATTGAGCGGGAGCAGGTCAGATGTGGCCAGACTTCGCCAACGCCACTGCCAATGCTGAACTGCACCTCCCAAACACTGCAACCCACGTCACATGACCCCAACTAGCGTGTCAACGGACGGGGGACGCTGAAGCTTGACGACGAAATCGGCTGACAGTCATCCCCTGCAACCGCACATCCCGAGTTCAGGAGAAGGGGGGGGTATGGGGACAAGACAAGACAACCCTGGGATCCAATGGCCTCCACAACGCGTCCGCCGCATGAACCTCAGCCGTGACGAGAACCTGCTGGGTCCTGAGCTATTGTCGGCGGTGGACAAACCTCCCTTTAGTAAACCTCCCCTCAGTGAAAACGGCCTGGGACCGAAACCGACGGACCCGGACCCGCAAAAATGACGGCCGCGACGCCCTCCCGCGAACCGAAAACGGCCAATTCCTCAATCGACGTGTCAGGGCAGGAGGTATGTCCACCTCCGATATTGCAGCCCTTCGCGGCGGGCACGGGCCCGGGAGAGCCTGGCGGCACGGGCCTGCCGGCGAGCCTCCGGGGTGCTCGGCCGCTGGATGGCCCCGAGGGGGAGGGGGGAAGAGGTCAAGTCGGGCGTGTCCCCCTGCCGGGGGATTTGGGACGAAAAATCAAGAATGCTCAAACAGAAATAAGAAATAACCCCAAACGGTCAAACAAGAAAGATAGTCCCCCGACTATTTTTTTAAGACTATGTCTGAATCTTCCTCCTGTAGAGGGACGCGCCCGACTTAAGCGGCCCGCGGCTCCTCAGCAGCGCCTCCTCCTGCGCCCGCGCCTCTGCCGCGCAGGGGTCCGGGCGCTCCGCGCCGCAGCTGTTGCAGCGGCCACGGCTGGCCCGGTTGACCTCGTCGCAGGCGCTGCAGCTCCACCGCGCCTCGCACCCGCTCCGGAGGGGCCCCGCGGCCTCCGCCCTGCCGGCGGACTGCACGCTCGACGGCCTGTGTCCCGGGGGGCGCTGCTCTCTGAGAGGCTGGGGGGGGAGGTGCAGGAGGGGACGGGGATGCTGCGCTGGGGGTGAAGCGAGCAAGGAATGCCCCAGCCCACGCCAAGGAGACGAGAAGGGGAGGGCGTTGGCCGGAACGGCGGCAGCCGTGCCTGTTTTCCGCTGTCGCCCCAAGCGAAAGGTATGGAAAGCCATAGCCCGTCCCATACATTCGGGGACCTGCAACTTCTATCCAAACATATTCTGCAGTGAACTCGCTGTCGCCAACGGCGTGAGAGACCGCAGGAGACCTCAACACTCCCCACAAGCCCTCCGCGGGGGACGGCTTGTATGATTGAAAGGGGAGAGCGCACCCGACCGTGAAATTCTCGAGAGGACCCAGGGATTACACATGATCGCACATGAGCCCCCGACCTTGAAAGATGGACACATGACGGCGCACCAATGTATCCCCACAATCGGCGGCGCGCCCGGTGGGGAAGTGCAGAAGCAGGCCTTCTCAGAAAGCGGCGCGAGGCTTCTCAAAAACCCTCTGGCCTTCTGATTCATTTTCTGCGTCGTCGGAGAAGGCGCAGAAAGCTTCTCAGAAGGCTGGAGGCCATCCGAGCCTTCTGAGAAAGCCCACCCCCCTTCCTCACGTCCTCACCTCACCCCATTGGGCTCGCCGCCGGCACGAGGCCCTGGGCGGCCACCGGGGCGACCCGAGAAGCCACACGACGGGCCCAGCGGCGGCCCGAGGCGGCCCCCGGAGCCGGCCCCGAGCCTCTTCCCGAAGAGCTCGGCAGGGCCGTCGCGCCCGGGGCGGCCCTGAGACCCCCAACGGGTTCGGAAGAGACCCTCCAGAAACATCCAAGGGGTGACCAGCCTCGGCCTTATCCCTGTCCCTGAGGTTGGGAAAGCCACAGAAGCCATGCCAATCGTGAGGGTGCGCCCTCCGAAACGGAGGGAATCCTCAAGATCGGCACCAAGATAAGGTGATGGCAACCAGGGGATATGTTTCAGGCCGGCAAAGAGAGCCACGGAGAGCTCAAGTATGCCCCGAAGAACCAGGTCGGCCCCCACGAGCTCGCAGACGAGATGAAGCAGCTTCCGCATGACTGAATCGCTCCAGAGGCTGCTGGCTCGGTCAACGCGGCGAGAGTTCTCGAGTCTAGAGAACACATCCTTGCCCAGCATGGAAATTCGGCCAGACATTGAGCCAGAGCTGAGTGTCTCACCGTGTGCTTGCTGGAGCGCGCGGCCAGGTCTGACGAGACTCCGAGGCACGGCTACAGCCTCGAGTGTCTTACTGCGTCCGAGGCACGGTTCGAGCCTTGACTGGCCTGCCTTGGTGTTCTACTAAGCTCTTCGGGATGGCGGGGGAGCAGAAACGGCGAGGAACACGGGCAGGGCCGAGCCTGAAACGGAATTCGCTTCTCCGTATAGGGGAACGAAAAACTGCACACGTGAACACAGAACTTTGGGAGCTCCGCGAAGATGTCTTGGATCGGCGCTGGGTCCCTTGGCGGGCGCCGCCCCTGGCGCGCTCCGCTCGGGCGTTGGCAGAACTGGGTGTAGTGGGACCTGGCGTAGTGATGTGGACTGGGCACTGGGGGGCGCCCCCCAAGCCTCGCCCCACTCACCGGAACTGCCGTCACCCGAAACAACACGAGCTGCGGCAGACCTGGTCTGGTGATTCTGGCCACGTGTGCGGGGCTCCGGGGCCCTGCTTGCGGGCAAGGTTAGTATCCATATCCAGCGCGCCGTGGATTTTTGGGGAAGGAGCGTCACAAGGCCGAGGCGCACTGGATATGGATAAACATCGAGCCCCTAGGGGGCAAATTTATCCACATCCAGCGCGCCTCTGGTTTCTGGGGAAGGGAACTCGAAACTCCATCTCGCAGTGGACATGGACAGAAGTATTGCCCGCACTGCTGCTAGCGCAGGGTCCCCTCACCTGGGGTCCTGGCCGTGCCCGATCCGCGCGCCAGGGGAGGGGGGCTCCTGGCGCCGATCCGAGCACTCCGCGCGGAGCTCCGCACCCTTCCCCCCCCTCCCTCTCCCCCGCGGCGGCCTCGCCCGCGAGGAGCGCGCGGCGTCTCCGCAGGCGCCGCGCGCCACCTTCTCTCGGCCGGCGCGGGGGGCAGGGGGGGCCCAGAGCCACAGGAGCCAGCAGAGGCCAGGCGGGCGCCACGACGGACTCCCCTCCACCTCTCTCCTCTCTCCCTCACGAGGAGGAGGAGGAGGACGAGGAGGATGAGGAGGAGGAGGAGAAGGAGGAGGAGGAGGAGAGGGAGGAGGAGGAGGAGAGGGAGGAGGAGGAGAGGGAGGAGGAGGAGGAGGAGGAGGAGGAGGAGGAGGAGGAGGAGGAGGAGGTCCACCTCGCTCGCACGCTCGTGGCATTCGCTCCAATGTCGGTGCTGCATCGCCTCCTCATCGCCTCCTCATCGCCTCCTCCACCTCCTCCACCTCCCCCTCCTCCTCATCGCCCCCCCTCCGCCTCGTCCTCGGCCTCGACCTCGTCCTCCAGCGGGTCGGTTGTCGTAGTTCCTGCATTTGCTCAGGGGGCCGTTGTGTTTAGGGGGCGCTAGGCCATCAAAACGTTGGTCCAGGACGACTGGGGAAAAGTCGAGTCCTCTGGGGACCGCAGGCGAGTTAATCAGAAACATCGAATGTTGTTGCATCCTCCTTCCTCCTCATTTTTCCCCCTGATCGTCGCACTCTGTAACTACCTGCCAGGCCACCCCAACCCAACCCGAAGACCCGAATTTCGGGTTGGAGGGGAACATGTTCCACACGTGTTTTTCTAGTGTTCCCCGACCCCCCCCCCTTGGAAATGGAGGACAAGTCGGGGCCTTCGGGCTGGGTTGAGGTGGTTTGGTGGGCGGTGGCTCTGTCTCCAGAGCGAGCGCCGTAGGCGACAAACGTCAGACTTACGTCGGGCCTGTCCCCCTACAGACCGATCTTGGACGAAAAATTTAAGATCCCCAACAAATTACCCTAGAAATATTCAAAAATGGTCAAAAAATAGTCCCCAGACAACTTTTTACTATGTTTGAATCTTCCCCCTGTAGAGGGACAGGCCCGACTTAGCGCCAGGCGCGAGCGGCCGCCGTGGTCGGAGCGTCCAGCGGAGCGCCGGACAACTGAAACGGAGGCTCGCGTCGGCCTCCCTGGGCGACGCAGCGAGGCGGGCTGCACCTCCGTCGCTGTGCACAGCGCAGGTGCAAAGCAGGTCGCAGGAAGAGGCGGGGCTCGACCAGAGCGGTGCTGTTCGTTTTCGTCTGTTTTCGTTTGTCTGCGTCTGTCTTGTCGTCGTTCCGCCGTCGCGGCAGAACGAAGTCAAAACGAGAAGGGCCCATGAAATCGCCAAGACACTGTTTCGTCGAGCCCTGGAAAGAGGCTGGGCTGTAGGGATGCAGGGCCTTGGAGGGCCAGGTGGGCGCGTTCGAGCGGGGCTGGCCAGCGAGGGTCGCCAGGGATGGGCGGAAGGGGCAAGGATGCAGGGGCAGCCTTGGAACATGCTCCTCCTTCCTGGGCGACCTCACGGCGTGAGTATCTCTCCTTCTCGGCCTCCGCGGCCTCTGAAGATTCCTCCGGCGGAGGCACCCACACGTAAAAACCAGGTAACGCTCCAGCGCCTCCATGGCGAAAACTGCGCGGGGCCACGAATTGGGACTCTTGCTCCTCTGCCCGGCGGGCGGACTCAGAAGTCCCCAGGAACCCTTCGAGACTTCTTGACGTGAGGATTTACTGTGGCCTTCGCAATCCTCAAAATCCGAAAAATACATCTGGAATTCCCTCAATGTCCTGGCAACTTCCGTGGGACTCCTCCAGGTCATCGGGCGAGATGGGACTTCTGGAGAAATTACGCACCAATCCTACATATTCCCCAACGACACTCTCACTAACCCTGTGGAAAGGAACGTCGGCCCGGTCGAGTTCGTGAAAATATCCTGCGGGTTCTGCTTGAATTCTTCTGGATCCAGGAAGATCCCCGTGGAATCGCGACTCTTGAAGACCTAATCAAAAAACACACATGGATCCCTAAGGACTCCCACGGAAACCCTCTGGGCTCCACGCCGAATCCTGGAATCCCGAACTTATGGCCACTAATTGCTCAGCGGAAGCAACCACACTGCGAACACCATCATCTGCCCAGTCCAGGCGGGTGCTGCAGTGAAGCTACCTCCGCCGCCGCCAGGGAGGGGGTTTCCTAAATTCCCTCACAAGTTTGGGCGGTAGGACCCACGCAAAGCTGAGCAGCGCCACAGGACGAGGAGGAGGAGGAGAAGGAGGAGGAGGAGGGGAAAGGGGAACAGGCCCCGGCAACCGCACATGAGCACCAGCCCTTCGTCGCGCAACAAGCCTGGACCTGTCTGGCTGGCTGCTTGGCGCCACAGCTCAATGCCGATGGCGGCTGCGAGGCACCGGTGCCGCTGGCCTCCATGGGCACAGCGACGCCTCCGCAACTGCTTCAGCACAAGAGTGCGGAAGATGGCTGTCGTCCGCTGGTGGGACCAGCCTCAGCACGTGAACAATGTCGGTTGGCACGTGATGTTCTGCCGTGCCAGGGTGTCCGCGTGCGCGGAGTATCGGGCGGGCGCTAATGGGGGGTGACCCACATGGGGGGGGGCCCTACAGGGGCCCCAAAGGGTCCAAAAGGGACCCTTCAGGACTCCTTTTGGGCACCCATTTGGGTCACCCCCCATCAGCACCCGCCCGAAAGTAGTACTCGACTTTGCGCCGGTACATGGTAGCCGCGCAGTTTGGTCTCGCAGCTGCGGCGTCCGGCGAGGCCACGCCGACGTCCAGGTCAAGGCGGCCGTTACGAGGGAGCCCGGTGAGCACGACTGCGGTTTAAAATCATATATCTATATATATATATACTCTAGAAAGCTCGTCGAGAGCCGTACGCAAGTCCACTGCAAGCTTACAGGTTCCAGTCCCCATCCAGCTGGAAGCCGATGGGGCTTCCTCAGGATACCCAAAGCGTGTCCGAAGGACGTTTGAAGGCTCCTCTTGGGATCCCAAGGAGAGAGGGCCCTCAATAGGGCCCCGTCTTCCGCGCTCCGCGGCGGACTCCGCCCTCCAGTGCCTCCAGGGCGGCACCTTCCGCGGCGCGGTGCCCCCGCCAGTGCAGCGCGGCCTCCCCCGCGCGAGCCTCCCGCCCGCGCCCGCGCGCCCACCTCGCGCAGCAAGGCGGCACGGCAGCCGCGGAGCGACAGACCCGCACCAACCGGACGAGCGGGGCTCCCGCCGGTGCGCCACCCGCGGTCGCGCAGCGAGGCGCGGGCCCAATCGCGCAGCCAGGCCCCCACCAAGCAGACGCGGAGCGAGCACTCTGGCCGATGCGGCGCATGACGCCTGCCCCCTGCCAGGGGCCGCGTGGGGGCGGAGGCGAGGAACGGAGTGCCCCTCGGACGCAGGCGGGGCAGGTTCCGGCGACGGGGCCGGGACCTGAAATGCTGACGATGCTGCTGCTGAGAAGATGATGGTGATGGCGATGGCGATGGCGATGGTGATGATGATGATGATGATGATGATGATGATGATGATGATGATGATGATGATGATGATGATGATGACGATGATGATGATGATGATGCTGATGATGTTGCTGATGGCAATGATGATGCTGATGATGATGACGATGATGGTGATGGTGATGGTAATGGTGATGATGATGATGATGAAGATGAGGATGATCATGATGTTGAATATTGTGGTGATGATGATGGTGATGATGGTGTTGATGATGTTAGTGATTGTGATGGTGATGGTGATGGTTATGATGATGATGATGCTGATGGCGGTGTTGAGGATGGTGATGGTGATGGTGATGATGATAATGATGGTGCTGATGTTGATGATGGTGATGATGATGATGGTGACGATTATGATAATGATGCGGCTGCTGCTGATGAGGATGATGATTATGATGATGATAGTGATGATGGTGATGATGACGATATGATGATGGCAGCGATGATGTGGTGATGGCGATGGTGATGGCGATTATGATGATAATGCTGATGCTGACGCTGCTGATGATGATGGTAATCATGCTGGTGATTCTGATGGTAGCGATGATGCGACCTGCGCCGCCGTGGTGTGCGACCTGTTCATAGACCTCGCCGATCACGGACGACCCACCTTCGTCGCCCCGGCGCCCCCTGGGTGCGTCCGCCCCGGGGCGCCCCGCTTCCAGTGCGGCTGCGGGCGGCGCCCGAGCATCCAGGCCCACTTCTGCCGCTCCTCCCGGGCCGGCGACGCATCCTCCGCCTCGGGCGGCGGCGGCGGCGACGACGACGATAACGATCGACGACGACTACGACGACGGTCAACGACGACGACGTCGCCCAACGAAGATGACAATGACGACGGCGGCGGCGGGTGCTTCGTGGGCAAGCGCAAAATGGAACGGCTCACGGAACTTCGTTCTCTCCTCCTCCGTCACCTCCTCCCTCCCTCCCTCCCGCCCTTCCTTCTGCTCCTCGCCCTCCTCTTCCACCTCGTCCACCTCCTCCTCCCCTTCCTCCTCCTCCCTCCCTCCCTCCTTCTCCCTCAACCTTCTCCATCCCTCTCCATTCCCCCCTCCCCCCCCCTCCACTGGGGCGTCGACTGCCCGCCAGAGCACCTCGTCTTCGTCGCCGTCGCCGCTGCCGCCGAAAACGCGGCCGCGGGCCGCCGCCGTTGCCCGTCGTCGTCGTCGTCGTCGTCGTCGTCGTCGTCGTCGCAGTTGTCGCCCTGGGCCGGCGACGACTGCTCCACGCAACGCGGCGGCAACAGGCTGCTCGAGCCCATCCCAGACGTCAAGACTTCTGGGCGCTTGCTCTGCGCAGCCTCCTGGGGACGACAGAGGGCCAGCAGAGACGCGACCCGGGACTGGAACACTCCCCAGACAAGCGGCAGGAGAGCCGAGACTCGAGTCGACAAGTCGGATCGGCAGTCGAAATCTGTCGGGTCGGCGGAAATCGGCGGCCGAGTCGGGGGGAGCCGAATCGGCAGAAATCTGCAGGGCGGTATGCCTCCAACAGGAATCGAATCGAATCGGAGGGATCGAAGCGAGCCCTGAAGCGGCGAGTGCCGGGCGAACTTTCTGCACTGCCGTGCCAGTCGTTCGGCCCGCCCTCGGCCTCCAGAGCCTCCAGAGCAGGAGCATGATGCTGATGCTGATGATGATGCTGATGCTGATGCTGATGATGATGCTGATGATGATGATGATGATGATGATGATGATGCTGATGATGATGCTGATGCTGATGATGATGCTGATGCTGATGCTGATGATAATGATGATGATGATGATGATGATGATGATGATGATGATGATGATGATGATGATGATGATGATGATGATGATGATGATGATGACGATGATGATGATGATGATGATGATGATGATGATGATCATGATCATGATGATGATGATGATGATGATGATGATGATGATGATGATGATGATGATGATGATGATGATGATGATGATGTGGAGGAAGAGGAGGAGGAGGAGGAGGACGAGGACGAGGAGGAGGAGGAGGAGGAGGCTCTGGAGCCCTTGGGTGCCTCCAGAGCCTCCGTCCGTGGACCGACGAGACCAGCAGAGACAGCGTCCAGGGGTCGGAGGATCCGGTTTTCGCGCCTGTGTTCGCGCGCTTCCAGCAGCCTCGGGGGGACCCCACGTGGCCGCCAGAGCCCCTGCAGAGGAAGAGGGAGACGGGATGGGAACGCGGAGGTCAGGATAGAAAAGAGAGAGAGAGAGAGAGAGAGAGGTGGAAGGAGGAAGCAAGAGAGAGAGAGAGAGGAAGATACAGGGAGAGAGATATAGAGATAGGTGGAAGGAGAAAACAAGAGAGAGAGAGAGAGAGACAGATCCAGAGAGAGAGAGAGAGCCGCAAACGTCGGATGCGTTCGCCCCCTCGGGGGCTGAAGGCTCTGAAATCTTCAGCTGGACTGCTGCTTTGCATTCTTGGTTCTGTCCCTCGCTTAGTGCCTCCTGCCTCTCCAGCCCCGTCTCCACGTTCATTATCATTAGGAGCCGTGTGCGCGCACAGAAGCAAAAGATGGTCTGCTACTGCGAGCGGCTGTACTCTCGAGCAGAATCCTTCCAAAGTTCTGGTTTGATCTCTAGTATGTCACTCCACTGCAACCCGCTCTGACTGCAGGTGGCTACTGAGGCGTGCTTGAAAATTTCTCTGGTCCATGCACAACGCGGTCTGCCTCTCCTCCGCTTCTGGGGAAGGGGCAGAAAATCCACCCCGATAATAAGCACCCCTGACACGCGAAGCCGTTTAGTAAGCGCACCCGAAGAAGGAATCGGACAGGACAAATAAATACACACAAATAACAGGATGCCCCATATTTTCCGACATTTTCTGGGTTTTTGTCTTCCCCCCCACTTCCCATATTTTCCCATCTGTTCTGGGGAATCGAGGATAAATTGTGTCTGTGTGTTTTTCTCCTCCTGAATGGTTGCCCCGAGATCCCCATACCGGACGCCACCGCGCGGCCAAAGAGGGCACCAGGAGGCCGTGAAGACGGCCTCTGGAGGCGCCGAGGAGGGCCTCAATAATCTTAAGTCGGGCCTGTCCCCCTACAGGGGGATTGTGGAGGAAAAATAAAAAATAATCAAGAAATATTGCAAACTGGGCAAAACATAGTCGAAAAGTCGTCCCGAGACAATGTTTTGACTATTTGTTTGAAGACTCCCCCTGTAGAGGGACAGGCCCGACTTAACAATGATCCAGGATGTCCGGAGATGGCTCCACGATGTCTCTGGAGTGGCCCAGGAGGAACCCCGGATGTATGACCGAGACAGCAGACGCACGCATGAAGCAACGCTTTTGCCTGTCGCACGCTCTGATCCCAAGATTGCCAGAAAGGCTCGGCACGAGCCCCGGAGCCTCCGATATTGCCCAAGACGACCCAAAGGCGGCCCCAACTGAGCAGGGACCGCCCGTCCCGGCATTCTTTTAGGTCTACCATAACATGGTCTCAGAGCCCAGAAATGCTGCAAGAACAAAACAATGTTCTTAGAACATAAGCCCCATGCGTGAAATCAAGGAAGGCTCAGCCAGAAGTGTTCTAAGAACATTTCGTACAGACCACGCAGGGTTCTTAGAACCCTCTTTGGTGGGCCTATTCGCGAGCCAGGCCGCTTCGCCACTGTTTGACCCAAAGGCCCCAAGATGTCGCCCACCTCGCCCAGGATGGCCCGACAATGCACCAGAGTGGCCCCAAGATGAGCTCGAGATGGGCCGCAGAGGTCCCAAGATAGACCCAATATTTGAACAGGGACCGACCGTCCCAGCATTCCTATAGGCGTATCCCAACACGTTCTTAGAACCCAAGGATGTTCTAAGAACAATAGCAATGCTCTTAGAACATAAGCACGATGTGTTAAAGCAAGACAATCTCAGCCAGAAATTTCTAAGAACATTTCGTGCAGACCACAAAAGGTTCTTAGAACAATCTTTGGTGGGCCCCTAGGCGACCCAGGACGCTTCGCCACTGCTTGAAATATATTTCCCCAGATGGTCCGAAGACTGCCCAGGAGGCCTCAAGCTACCACCCCCCAGAGCCCCATGACGGCCCAAAAGCTGTTCCGATACAGACACATATGGCCGCAAGATGGCTCAGCCTAGGGGGCCAGTGGCAGAGAGCGCAGCCCTTCAGATAACGACACAATGATAACCTGGCCCGCGCTCTCGAACACTTAGTGTGCCCGTCCTGCCGAATGCCTCCCTCTGGCAGGGATCCTGGACTGCCGTCGCCGGGCATCTTCGGAACCCACGGGGCCTCCTCGCCCAGCGCCTCTCCCGTGCCCTGCTGGGCAGCAGCGGCGCTGCGCTTCCTGCGGCCGCGCTGGTCATCGCCGGCGCCCCTCCGCCCGACGTCCGCCCGTTGCACGGGCACCGAGCCGGACGCCTCCGCCGCCGCCCCGCGGCCAGAGCGCCCTGGCGCGGCGTCGGCCGAAGCGTCCGGGAGAGCGCTGGCACTGCTGCGCCCGCTGTCCGCCCGCTGCACGGGCGGCGCCGCCGCCGCCCCGCGGCCCGGCCGCCCGGCCGCGGCATCGGCCCCAGCGTGCGGGCCTGACCGCCTCGAGCCGCCCCCACGCCTGCGCACCGCGTGGTGCCGCGGGGCGGCACCTCGCTGGCGCTCGGGGGCGCGGCCCTCGATCTGCTCCAAGCTTCGCTCCAGCTCCTGCAGCCCGGCGTCCAGCTGGGGCAGGCCCTGGGGTGCGAGGCCGAGGCCAACCGGGGGGAGACCCGGGCCCAACGTGGGGGAATGCGACGGGCTGCTGGGGGAACGCGCGCGTGGTTGGCCGGCCTCAACTGGCGCGCATTCCTCGCGCGGAGATGCGGCACTGAATGGCGTCCGCTCCTCGGGCGGCGCGGCCGCCTCCAGCGCCGACCGCTCGGCGCGTGGCGCGGCCACCTCTGTGAATGACGCCCAGTCTTCGAGCGGCGCGGCTGCCTCCAGCGCCGACGGCTCCGCGCGTGGCGCGGCCGCCTCTGTGCGTGACGCCAGACCCTCGGGCGGCGCGGCCGCCTCCAGCGCCGACGGCTCCGCGCGTGGCGCGGCCGCCTCTGTGAGTGACGCCAGACCCTCGGGCGGCGCGGCCGCCTCCAGCGCCGACGGTTCCTCGCGTGGCGCGGCCGCCCCTGCGAATGGCGCCCAGTCTTCAAGCGGCGGCGACGGCTCCTCGCGTGGCGCGGTCGCGGCCACCTCTGCGAATGGCGCCCGCTCCCCAGGCGGCGCGGCTGCCTCCAGCGCCGACGGCTCTGCGCGTGGCGCGGCCGCCTCTGTGAGTGACAACACACCCTCGGGCGGCGCGGCCGCCTCCAGCGCCGACGTCTCCGCGCGTGGCGCGGCCGCCTCTGTGAGTGACAACACACCCTCGGGCGGCGCGGCCGCCTCCAGCGCCGACGGCTCCGCGCGTGGCGCGGCCGCCTGTGCTGATGGTGTCAGACCCTCGGGCGGCGCGGCCGCCTCCAGCGCCGAACGCTCGGCGCACGGCGGAGCCGCCTGTGCTGCTGGCGCCAGACCCTCGGGCGGCGCGGCCGCTTCCAGCGCCGACGTCTCCGCGCGTGGCGCGGCCGCCTGTGCCGATGGCGCCACACCCT